GAAAATTAACTCAAAGAAAATCTGTCCTCTGATCAGGACTTGATAACCGTGCGCCTCTGTGTAAATATCGTTATCACCACTCCTCCTCGTTTCTGCAGCTCCTCCCGCTCGCTCTCCTCTTCACTTCCAACCGTTCCCTCTCAGACAGAGAAACTCATTACAGCTAAGGATTAAATTGATCAGTGTGAGGGGGGAGAGGCAGCAGGCCAGGTCCGTGCAATTTATGCCAACAATGGAGCTCATCGCTGCATATCCTGAATGCTTCACAAAAGGGAAACACTCAGCAGCAAACAACTGGCTGACACACACACACACACACACACACACACACACACACACACACACACACACATTAGCTCACTGTGCTCAGTTCATCTCAAACAAATGGACAAAGAGGAGTAGAAACAGCAAAAAAAAAAAATCTGCATGATGATGAGGGTCGGCCAGGAAAGTTGAAGGTTAAAAGACAGTTTCTCACACATGCAAACGGAACTGCAAAAAACAGACTCTGCAGGAAGCACAGAGCCTCCTGTAATTGCCCTGGAAACCAGCGAGTAAACACAAGTGGGATTGGGTTGTTGCTCTTCGGCGTGTCTTCACAGTAGCCTCATCTCGCTCACCTTCTGCACCCTCGGCCTATCTTTATTTCCCAGATGGGTAATGTTGGCTTCAGTACCCGGTTTCCCTGACTCAGGAACCCTCATCTCCTCAAGGTGTGCGAGTCTGTGTGTGTGTGTGTGTGTGTGTGTGTATGCCCCATGTCCACTGTTGTGGAGGTTATTAGCGGATTAAGCATCAAAGTAGTGAATGCAGAGCTTTCCATAAATTAACTTTGCCTTTTGTCTCTATTTCTTCTTTTTTTGTGCCTCATTATTATTATCTTCAGGTGGAAAACTATTAAAATACGGAGATTTGGTCCCTGGTTATGGGTGATATTGGTACGTCTAATTGTTAACAGTAGGGAATTATCGTTGGTGGAGGGTGGGCACCTGGTGAAGTGGTCCGGCCTGGGCTATTTTTCTTTACTTCATTTTGAGGCTTTGGCCGCAGGCCAACAATGCTTTAGTGCAAAAATCATTTCACAAGCGGGTCTCAGGTGTAGAAAATTGAAAGAACAAAAAGAGAGATCGACAACTTTAAAATGTTTGCACAATACGGGATGCCTTGTTGTCTCTGAGCAGCGAGTCGGTTTTTCCAAGCGTATTCTCAGCTGCCTTATCGATTTAACCTTGTCCATAAAAAGGCTGTCTTTTGAAATTAGCACAAGCTGTCCAGGCCCTAATCCCGCCCATTCAATGGATTACATACCTGGAAGATGGTCAACAAACAAGGCAGTCAAGTGCAAATCCCAGCGAGTCTAAAAAAGCAGCGACTGGGAACATTGTGCCGTTAATTCATTTCCCCTCATGGGTGCAGTCAGACAGAGCAGCATCCCACTAGCAGAGACATGTTCTCTGCACAGAGGAGATAACTGCACCACACCTGGCGCCCAGCGCTCCCTCCGCCTCCAGCAGCACCTGCACACCTTTACGACTGTCCACTGCGGCGGCCACACACCCACAAACTGAATCACTGCGCCGCTCAAAATTCACCAGAAGGGAGAGGAATGACAGGAAGTCAGAAATCCTGAATTCAGATCCTGATTAGACGACCAGGACTGTGGTGTGGATGTTCTTGTCTCGTCACTTCTAAATGTGCATGATTTGATTTGATCAGAAATTTGATCCCCATGTTTAAGAAGCTGGCACAGCGAGGTTGTTTTCATGGCCAATCCCACCGCCGGGAGCGCAGTGCATCATCCCGCAGTGTGCCTGCCAAACGTTGATCAGGCGACCCACTGGTCAAGGAGATTATTATATTGACTCTGCACTCACAGTTCATGACAAGCATCAAGTGGTAACAACAGGTGATGGAGAGCTGTCCTACTGCACGATGGCCCACCAGAAGCAATCTCAGCCAAGGGCCCTTATCCCTGCAGGGAACAAGGCATGTGATTGTCTCTGCGTTGCCTGGATATAATATGAAGCAGATGCAGCGTGGATACATGGCGACAACTTAAAAGCAGAATATTAGAAATGCTCAGGTTGTAGCGGAGTCTCAGGGATCAGATGGATTAGCGGTGCTAATTCAACCACGCAGATAGTTTTGGTTTCACTGAGGAGTTTTTGACACATTAGTCATTTGTTAAGTTGAAAGAAGCTCCAGCGGCAGCAAGAACCAGGAAATTGTTTCAAAAAGGGAAACGTTGCTTTGCAAGTTTTTAAAATGTCACTTGGCAAAGCTTTGTGCAACAGAGGTTCCATTTAACTCCATTTTACTGTATTGGATACGAGCAGAATCGTCAGAGATTTTGCTGTCACGTTTCTAATGGGTAAATATTGCTAGAGTATATTCTGTTACACAGAGGAATATTAGGTCATTGAGTGGGAAGAATTGTAATTCAATGAGAAATATGCGCCTACAATGGCAATAAAAGGTTATTGCATTCATTTTTCAAATTTAATTTACTTAAACAAGCCACTGTCTTTTGATTATTATTCTTTGCTCATTAGAATGTCCACAGGAAAGTTCATCATTATATTTAATAAGACAATTCAACAAATAAAATGAACATAAAATAAAATACATAACTGACAATAAATAACTGGACGCGTGCAACTAAGCATTAAGCTGCAAAAATGTAAATAGCTTCACCGCTGCTGTAAATATACATATATATACATATATACAACATGTAGACAACATTAAAAATCTGTTTTACACACCCGGTGGGCTGGTGGATGCTGTCACAGTCAGCGTGTTTCTCACCTGTCTGAACGTTATTCCAGGACGCATCCTCCACAATATGATCTGTGTCCGACTGGTTCTGGGTCCCAGTATAACCAGTCCGTTCAAATATACCCAGGCTGATATTGGTTAACTTCAACTGTAATGACCTGTAAAGTCTCCATTGTAGGTTCCCGTCAGAAGGCTTCCACAAGCTCCATCAGGGAAAGGGAGATCAGGTGAGCCAGGAGACGCACCTGGACCTCATCGAGGACAGGGGACAAAAGGACAAGCAGGGACGACGTCGTGGCAGAGATGTGTTGGGAGAAGGAAGTCAGATAACGGCCCCATACAGTTTGTTTTATTTAGTTAAATGAAAAAGTAAATGAGCTTAATTATCTGTTTTTCATGTCAGAGTCCTCTGTGCAATCCTGTTACACTATACAGATAATTAACAAAACGCCCCAAAACTGTATTTTGTTGCACCCTGACCATTAATCAGTACATATTGTTCTGTAAATTAGCACGAGCGGTGTGCTGATGAGCTGCGTAGTCAGCCTCACAGATCCCCTTTTGTAAACGAAGCAATACAATCAATTGATTTGATCGTACGACGCCAACAGCAACTTTGAGAGCCGTTTATTAGGCAGCTTCTTTTCAAAAACTGCTAATTCCGCGATGTTGTTGAGAGGGAAGGGTGCTGATCCTGAATTCCCTTCAAAACCTTCTCTCTATTCTTTTCAACAGTCCCCTCCGCAATCCCCTCTCCTCTGCGTTGCCGGGTGAGAAACAGCTGCTTCTCTGTTGGCCGACCTCCAGATGGATGACTGAGGAAAGTGAATGGGTTTTTAATTTCACTTGTTAACGCCGCTTTCTCTGTGGTCTCTCCTCCCCGAACCTCCAGTGGAGGAAAATAAGTTGGAGTAGAAAGTGGTGGAACAAACAGAGCCTGATTCGAACATTAAACCTTTTAAATTAAGAGGACGTTGATTATGCATAAGAGGAGCTAGTTTGAAGTGTGTCATTCTTCTTTTGTTGGGTTAATCGATTCCGAAGGGTTTTAATTGAGTATCTCTGAGGAGGGTTGAAGCACAGATGTTGTTCTGCTCCTGCCTGATCAGACCTCCTCCACAGCCAAAACCAGAGTGAATGCGAGATGCCTCTGGCGAGATGGCCCACAGACCACCATGAAATCCTTATGATTCAACCCTTTTCACATTCACTCTATTGCATTATCGATGCGACCTTTCAGTAAGCCACTACTTCCATCATCAAATGAGCAAACAAGGGGACGGGAGCATTTCAATTACATGTTTTTTTCAGGTGTCTCAGATATTTTGGACTGCACCTGAGATATTCATGTAACAAGCAAGCTTCTGTCTCAACATTTCAGACATCAGAGGACTAAAATATATAGGTAAAAAGGTGTTGACTTGTTGCAGCTATAAGGCTAATGGTGACATCCAACAGACAAGTTTAGCCAAACCTCCTAAAGGTCAGCTTCTATTGTAGACACACTAAAACAAGAGGAGCACGGGTGGGAAACTGCTGGAGTATATAACCCCTGGATGCTTTAAACTGAGTGCCTGCGGCATGCAGATGGATGAGCTGTGACATCCATCCTAAGTAAGATGGATTATAGAGAGCCAGATTGATTTGCATAACAAACTATTTGCTGGCTCTGATGTTTTGCTGCAGAGGTCCAGGTCGACCTGCCAGACGAGGCCCACGGGCTCCCATCACTCCAGGTGATGCGTTTCAAACATCCACTTGCTTCAACATAGTCCAGCTGGGCAGATGAGTGCGGAGGCAGAGGAGTGCGCGTTGTGGCTCGTACCCCCGCTGTTACTTAGTTAACTACATTGGCAAATATCCATCGGGTGAGATCACACGAGACACGAGACAAGACACGAGACGTCAATGACACACTCTGAAATGAATCTGTAGAGCTCTGCGGAAAACAAATAGTGTGACCTAGTGGGGAGAGACAAAGGTCGGGTCAATCCAATGACAACATGAGCAGGAGGAAGCGTCCCGTGCAGCATGCGAGGTGCGCTCTCTTGTGGAGAAACGGCAACATTGCAGTCCACACTGCACCATCGATTCTAAGGTTAATTTCTTCAAAGATACAAACAAATGGATAATGTACAGTTTTGCTCGGTTTGCGACAGTCAACAGGGAACAATTACACGAGAATTTCCCCCACGATTAATAATAAACCATGTGAAAGTACAAGCTTTGAGAACATAGACTTTATTCATTTCATATGAAACTGACACAAAAACTTAAAAAACATACTGACAGGCGCTTCAGCGAACCTTCACAGGGACGAGAGTCTGCGTCGCAGAGACGATCTCATTGGGGACCAAACCGATGGTTGTTACATCTTCACCTCAGTCAGTTGACATCATTCTGAGTATAAAACACAAACCTTCCCAGTGAACCCGCCAGCAGAGGCCGGGATAAGCCTGGGACAGCCGCCACACTATTTTTTGCTTGCAGGCTCCCTCTCTTTCTAAAACCCTCCCTCCTCCTCCTCCCTCCTTTTCTCCTTCATCCAGTTTTCCTTTTTTTTCTGTATTTTTTCTGACCCTTCATGTCCCTGAGCACTCCTTCTCTGATTGGTTCCAGACGTGCCACTGAGCTCTTCTTGCCGACTCAACATTCCACAGCTGGAGACTGCACACAATCACAAACTCACTCACACACTTCTCGTCCTCCCTTCCCCCTCGATCTTCAGTCCAACTCATGCAGCAAAAAAAAAGAAAACAGCTCTGTGAGACACCAAAAGCCTCAGACTAAAACAGCTCCCAGGAATTTCTGCAAGCAGAAAGCAAGAAATGCACTCAGAGGAGTAGAAGAGTTGAAGGCAGGTTAACTAAAAATGTGCTCATTACCCTGCGCAAATGTAAAATGACGTAGCAAAGGAAAAAAAATGTTCTCTTTCAAAATAGTAAATTCCCTTTTAAAACATTCTTTGGCTCTCATATATACAAAAATCATTCACTTGAGGGATCTTTTCCTTTGTGGGGCAATTAGTTAGATTTTTGGCATTATTCCCTTGAAAGTAGAAACATTTCCAAATGTCTTTACCATTCATATTTAAGTGAAAAACACATAATAAAACCTGCATCATTAAAAAGAGAAAAAAAAAGAATAATATCCAAGATAAAACACAGAGAATGGGAATGTGACTATAAAAATGATGAATCAGACATATATCAAACTGCAAACCCCTTTTCATGGTGCATCTTGGGAGAATGGCCGCCGAAAATTGTTGAATCAGCACCAGATTGTACATTAAGAGCCCAAACAAACACAAGTTTGGAATGACTAAAGGCAAGTGGATGACAAAAACTGACTTAGATCAAGATAATAGAAGAAAGTGCCAAAATGTATGCAGAGCCACAGGATGTGAAAAAAACTTTGGAGTACCTAAAAGACAATGTAGTCTACTTAAAGACCAGCTTTCAACACTGAGAACAGAACTCAGTGTTGGTAATGTGCACAATAGTGTCGAGTCCTCAGACGGTCACCACTAACTATAGTCCCCTGTCACCCTCCAAACATTCACATTTGGACGTCTTTGTCCTCTGCTCTTCGACCAGCTGGTGCTGACGTGTCAGATCCGAAAGGAGGAGAGAGGCGGACTCTCACACACCACGCATGCATCATCAGTAACAGTTCCCAACAGCTGCGCAGATAATGACAGATCAATGGGAAGGACACAAATGCAAAAAAAACAAAGACACCTATCAACTTCCAAAAAAATACTGTCATGGCGAAACAGAAGAAAAGAAAAAGGGAATTGGTTTCCATAGAAGACTGTGGCTTTGTATTGAGAAGATAAGAGACAAATGGTTTTAGTTAAGCGTCGACCCGTGGCTGTACTTTTTTCTGAAGGAAATTTACACCGAGCAAAAAATTGACATTGGCAACAGAGGAGATGGTGAGGAGTCATATCATAAAACCAATTTATGTTGAAACTTTCCAGCTGCCGCAATGAACTTAAACTCCCAGTAGATTCGTTCGTGGCCTGAATGAACGCTTCAGAGGGAAAAGCTGTAAATACGGATGGACCTGATTTGTCTGGAGAGAGATCGGTCGAACGGTTAAGTCTTGGCAAAAGAGGATTGAAAAGGCGGGGATTCAATTTAAAACCAATCTGCTGCGCTCTGCACAGCCCCTTCCAAAATACTTTTTGGGGTTTCAAATGACACAACAAAAAACATAAATGCCACGACGTCTGTTCTGAATCAGCCTCTCCTGGGTACGGTCTGGGTCGGGGGTCTGGTTTGGTATCGGTACGGCTGGCTTCCTGCTACTCTGCCTGCTCGTTCAGCTCCATGTCAGATACCAGGATGTTCTTCTCCGCCTGGTCCGCCAGGCTGGAGTTGGTCCGGCTGTAGCGGGCCCCCTCGTAGGACCCCTGGGACCCAACAGTTCGCCGACGGTACAAGTAGATCCCGCCGACTATCAGCGCTACCAGCACCAGGCCCGTCACCATGACAACGATCAGAGTGGGCAGGTGGTTGTCCTTCACTAGGGTTTGGATAGAAGGTAAGCAGAGTAAACCATTTCTTCTGAGTTTGGAGTGAACAGAGTAACGCGGCAGCAGCTAAACACGCTCACCTGTCACAACCGGCTTTTCAACAGCTGAGAAGCAAAGAAAGGACAGTTAGTAAAAAGGGACAACTGATCTGGGACATCAGCATATCACAGGCCACTGCTATTATGTTATTACGTATTCACATGACTTTTTCCATTACTCCAATTATTATCATTATTAATCCACCATGTTCCCTGCTGTTATTATTGATAATGTTGCCTTACTGCTCTCATTAAAAGAATCCTCTATGTTGTTTTTATTGAATGTGTTACTCTGTAAGGTTGTTCATTATTACAACTCATGTGCTTTTGTCCATCCTGTGGATCCCTGGAAGTGTCATCCTTATGAATGTTTTCCCAATAAAAGAGGGCGGTTTTGGCCGGACTGATGGGACATGAAGTGTGGTATGTTTGCAGACTGTAAAGCCCTCTAGGGGCAGTTTGTGATTTTGGGCCATACTAAATAAATTCACTTGAATTAAATTGTGTTGCCTCTTGCACATGGATCATTACGCTCAACAAACACAGTGTGCGTGATGAGGGCTTAATTGTTGACAAGCTGGTTTCGTTGACTAACGCGACCAGAGACGGCTCTGAGGATGACGTCCCCCTTGGCTAAAGCGGGCGTCTGTGTTCTTACTCCGAGGCAGCTTGCAGATGACTCCATGTGTGCGGTTTCTGCACGAGCCGGGCTTCCACAGGCCGCTGTTGCTCTGGATCCAGAAGCAGGAATTCGGAGACAGAACAGAGAAGGCCACATCGTGCGTCTCCCAGTTGGTGTAGGACATCTGTGTGTCCTCGCTCCAGACTAGTCCTCTACCTGTACCGGGAACAAATGCACAACACAGAGGAGCGTCAAACAAAACTCAAGCAGAAGTGTTTAGTTTTATGGGAAGATAATGCATCATATCATGCTCTGGCACACATCACTGTTGAGGTTTTCCATATTGGATTCAGATCTTATTCATTTACCAATCGTAATTAAGTACATTACACTCAAATGACCTAATTAAGATGAATTAATTAACACTCTAATTGACAGTAAAAAGGCAATAAATTCAATGTTCCGGGATAATTCTCCTGGCTTTATCTCAATTATTTGACATGAGAGAACCAATTAATTAATTTTACCATAGTTGTACATTTCAAATCAGAATCGGTTCCATAAAATCTTTTTATAAACAGCCCAAGAAAAATAAACAGCCTTATTCAAATAGCCGAGCCAAATTATCTGCAAGCCGAGTAAGATCATTTCAATACAAGCAGCCTAACATGAATATACTTGGATTTAAAATGACTTTGGAAAAAGTGAAGGCTAATGAGTTCGCTGCTGTACAGAGCGATGGAACGGACTGTCTGATACAATGTGGCAGGACCTTTCACACTGATGCCCAGCCAAGCTCCATGTGCCTGCTCTGCATAGCTCTGGATGTGTTCCCACACGAATCCATTCTCCGTCTCATCCAAGATAGAGAGAAGTTCAGCTCCCACTGCAAAAGACAGAAAAGAGAAAATAACACACGGACGTTGAACAAAAGGCAAATGGGGATTGATAATACGAGGAGCAGTGGTGCTGCTAACCCAATGATCAACCTGTCTAAATTTAGGCCTATCGATGCATTTTGTCAATCATGTTTGCGGTGGTGAAGGTCAGAACTGGGTTTCAGTTCAGTATCATGAGCTGCGCCGGCAGCGGCAGGAGGAGAGGTACCTTTTTCACAAGATGCACGCGCGTCCTGCTGCAGTCTAAGACTTTGCAGGTTGAAGGCGTAACAGTGGTTTCTGAAAGACACCCATGACCACTCCCCCAACGAGTGGGGGCACTGGCCGGGGTACATCCAGTCATGACGCACAGGCTCATCTGGCAAAGAGAAATGGCATAGTGGGGGTTTTAGTTTGGTGCAATTTTGCCACATGCTAGATGCTATTACTGCTGTTACATTACACACAGACACACACACACACACACACACCACTAATTTGACAGATAGCAGCCTCCAATTTGGCGTCGCAGGGAGTCAAAGTCCACTGGCCGGTAGTGGTCATGTGACCGCATCCAGCCCGGAGATGGGGCTCCCCATCGTTCCAGTTTGAATACGACACTTCCTCGTCACCCAGCCACACGACGCTGCGGCCCTGGAAACGCAAACAATAAGTTGCAATTCAGTGTCGTTTTTTTGTCAGCCAGGAAACGCTGTTGCACCTTTGTGACTCTATTGATTTTATAATAAGATAAGACTGTAAGTCAATGGGCTCACTCCGTAATTGTAGATACCGATCCAGGCAGGCCGGCGCAGGCTGTTGATCAGCAGCGTGAGATAGGCCTGCTGGTAGGGATCCTTAGCCGTGGCAAGGGTTCCATTCAAAGACTCACAGAGGTGCAGGGCGCCGGTCCAGTCCAGACGCTTCTCCACAACCCGGTAGGTCACCCCACCCAGCTCTACTGGCTTCGACAGGGAAGCAGGGATGAGAGCCGGGGCCGCCGGTAGACCCGATTCTGAAGGAACGAAAAAGTCAAACACTTTTGTTTTTAGTTCCAAATATTCTGCACTGCATATTGTGCCCCGGTTCAATATCACACCTTGGGCCCTCTGACAGATGAAGCCATTGCTTTCCATCTCACAGGCACGGGAGGCCCACATGCCAGTGTTCTTCTGGGGGGTGCCATGAATCATCACCACACAGTTTCCCTGATGGAGGACAGTGACATTGTCAGAACAGGAACCGATCGAGGACAAAGCGCTGACATGTGTACAGGTAGGTGGGTGCCGTGGGTACCGGGCCCTTGTCGTGGTGCGGGCCGCTGTTGTCCACTGGCTGCCCGGGAGCCCAGTTGGTGTAGCTGAGTAAACTAGCCTTGGCCCACTGGAAATGACCTTTACAGTCTGATGTCAGAGCCACCCAGAGGTCAACACTGGCATTTTGAAGCAGGGTTGTGACGAATGCTATCAGGAAGACAATCGATGGCATCAGTATGCGTGTGTGTGGTGTGACTCTCATGAACAGTGACAGGTGCACAGACAGTTTAATATGAACATGAAAATAAACCAAAACTTTTTCGAATTGTTGATTCTTAGGAGTCTCGTGACACTACTTACAGTGACAGTTGATAATTGATGTTCAAGAGGAGAGGTAAGTTCATTAACCTCCCTGCTTTCGACTTCACACCAGCTGTAGTCTGCTGTAATTACCTTGCTCCAAGTGATTGGACACCACTGCCAGTACACCTCCCTGTGTGTCACATTTCAGCTTGGCTGCAGACCATGTGACTCGGTGTGACTGATCAAAAACTCTGAAACACTACAGAAACACCAGATGTCATTGCGCACATAAAAGAAAATGGGGTTGAGGTTAGTTTTATTAAGAAAAAATAGGTACAGGAAATAAAACAGTAATAGGTACTTAATCTGATGCATTTTCAATATCCTGCATCCTGAATACAACAACACAAAAAGTGCTCTACCTTGTGTCGATGGGAAGACCACCCATCGGGACAGCCTGAAGGCGAGTGGGGGGGCGATGGAGTTGGAGGAATGGTGCCGGTAACATTCACTCTCTTGCATATGTAGGGCAGGTCAGAGTGGCATTTTTCATCAGCCCACTCAGCTGTTTTGGGAGTGAAAAATACAAGCTCATTCACCTGCGTGCTGCATGTGATCTCGTCATCTTATCAGGCCTCATATTTGAGTGGTTCCTACCTTCGCTGGAAGACAATTTGACACATCTGCGATCCCGGCTGACCGGGTGCGGCCTCCCGAGGGCCCAGAACACGTAATTGAGCACCGAGTGGTCTGACCAGCGGAAGCGGCCATCGTTTTCATAGGTGTGAAGCCCCAGCCACCAGCTGTCGCCCTTCGCCTTCACCATCTGAATGTGAGAAATAAACTGTGAAAAGGCATGTCGAGGCCTCACACGTCTTTTTTAAACACGCAGGGCTTGAGTGTAAACAAGGCTGCAAGCACATTAAAGACCATGATGAAAATGATCTCACAGGTCGATGCTTGTTCGGTATTTCCGAGGGTGTCGCCCCCTCAAAGCTGGCTCGCCCGCTAAACTTTGACTAATTCATTTTCCATTTTGCATTATATTGACAGAGGTGAAGACGTTTTTGATCAAGTGTGCAGTGCCTTGTTCAAAGTGTTTGCCAGGAACGCTTCCTCCTCAGTGGAGTGGACGGAGGCCAGCGAGGAGTCAATCCAGGAGCAAATCCTCTGGGCCTGGTCCCAAGTCGTGCGTTGGTCAAAAAATTTATACTCGGCCTCCTGGAAGGGAATCCACTCCGGTGAAGTGCCTGACAGATGAGGGATGAAAGAAGGAGGAAAGACGGGATAGGAAGGTTTTCAAATAGGGCCTCGGGAGATCAGTTCAGTATGCTGAGGGAAGTTCAAAGCGAAGGCGATGAGACTGACCTTCAGAGATTTCTGGTTGCTTGTCAACGCTACCTGAATTCACACAGACAAGATGAAAGCGTTTTCACAACATGCGCAGTGTTGAGTTAAAGGGAAAGGACTTCCATTGGTTGTAAATAAGAAGGTCCAGTATTGTACCTTTGGGGATCTTGCAGATCCAGTCCAGCTCAACGTCACATTGCATGGCCAGCCAGGTCATAGTGCCCAGGTCTACTGCAGCGCATTGTCTGAAGTTGTAATCGCTGCGGCCAAAGTTCTGGTATGTGAACTGAGACGCAAGCAAAGAGTAAAAAAGGGGTGCGGCTCAGTACATGTGGACGGTTAGGTTGCGTTTAGTCTTTACTCACGACCAGCCCATCACTCCACTTCCAGCTGCCGTTGTCCATTGGGTTTCTGCGGTTCAGTCCAATCCAGAACCACTGCTGCTCGTGGTCCTCTGACTCCCTATGGGCCACATCATCATCATCAACGTCGTTGATTCGGCGTGTGAAATCAAAGGTCCCCCGTGGTCGACACTCACCCAAAGGCCTCATGGAGGATCTGCACAACAAAGTGTTCCTCCTCGGCGCTGCTGATGCTCAGCAGGTTGGCTCCGTGTCCGCGACAGGACAGGTGCGCTTGCAGCCAGTCCAGCTTCTTCTCCAGCTGGAAAGAGTGAAACACCTGCACAAAAGTAGAATTTGGTGCTGTTTTTTTGTTAACGACAACAATTTAAAGGACAAATGTTGGTATTTCTGGTATTGTTTTATTCAGGTTACTTTATCATGGCTATTTATTCCAACCAGGTATACATATTGATAAAACATCTGCATTGAATGCTATGTGCTGTATCAAATCTCATAAATACATATTTATATGCCAAATGTTACAAGATGTATAGATGTATAAATGATCAACTTATCAAATTCAGAGTTACATACGAGGTCCAACCAAAACTACAGTACATACGTGTTCATAACCCTGATGAAGTGAATTTAAATGATAATGTTATCATAAGACTGGACATGTTTACACAATGAATAAGTTCTGTGGTCATTTGTGGTCATTTACAAACAATAAACTGAGACACGCGGGGGTGAACCTTGTAACAGTGGTGCAGGTTGCTGTTGCTCTTCCAGCCGCTGGGGCAGGAGCCGCTGAGGCTGGGGGTCGGCTGAGGGACGGGGGGCTCGGGGCTCAGGGACGCGTCCTGGTTTTGACGGCAGAGGAATTTCGCCTTTGAGGACACGCACGCCTTCACCTCCCACAGACCTGTTGCGAAGCCCGTTGCCATGGACACGCAGCCGCCGCGGACGCTGACTGAAATAAATACAGGGTGACGGGTAGGTGAGTGGAGAGAAAGAGACGCTGATGAAATGTGCGGAAAAAGAGGAAAGGCAAAATAAATGGGGAAAAGTTGTTTCTTACAAGGCAATTATGAATGCATCATTTGCTGCAGACCTTGGTTTGTGTTTTTATTATTGTACATGTATCTAAGATATGTCCACTGAAGCTCATATAAATACTCTTTTCTCCTAAAATAACAAATATAGGTGTTGTGTTTAAACTGCAACTGTGGCCTTATAGGTGCAACCTGCGGGGGAATTTCATATACAATGAAAGTTCATACTAGAAATGTGACCAGAACCTGAAATTGAGCAACAAAGTGCCGCTCTGATCTGTGCCGAGGTAATACGGTTCATATCTCCGGCTCTTTCCGTGACTCTAAAGCCAGAGAACTGCTTTTTGCATCACCAGGTCTGGTTTAGAAATGTAATCAAAACTAGCATGACTTTTCCCAGAAAGCAGTCTCCTGTGTGCTGCCTCATTCAAAACACTAGGGAACAATCCAGTTTCTTCTGTGTAGATTCGATCCAGAATGGGCTCCGGTTCAGAATGGACCTCGTGTTGAGGTTAACTCATCACAGACACAGGAAGTCGATCGGGAACAGACGTTCTGCGATCATGTTGGCACTTTCCCCTCAGTGGATCATTTACATCCTCGTTGACGTGTGTTTCCTACCTGGCTGGTCCCGGTTCCAGTTGGTGTAGGACACTTCATCCCCACTGAGCCAGTGGAAAGAGCCGCGGCTGCCCTGGTCATGCAGCCCGATCCAGAACGAGTCGCCAGAGCGACCAAACACAAGGCTGTTGGCGAAGGCCTGCTCGAACCTTGAAAGATTTACAGGGGCTTTTAAAAAGGAAGCGCAGACGAGGCACAGCGATGTCTTTGTGTGTGTCTCGGTTGTTTGTGTGTTGTTGTTCGCACCTATTGGTGATGGTGACAAGGGCGGCTCCATGTTCCTCACAGGACTTTCTGGCTTCATCGAAGGTAAACAGATCCTCTCCCACCCAGTAACAAGCTGGGCTGTGCCACTTCCAGCCCTGAGCGGAGAGGAGGAAAATGAAATAGAAAAAAATAAATAAATAAATCACAAACCATTAAAAAAAGGCAACCATCTTTGAAGACTAAAAAAAAGCTAATTCAATCATTTAAAATCTGGATATCCAGCTTCAGTTATTGAGGCAATAAAGAGCACTAAAGGAACATTAAAGGGAAATGGATAATAGACTTAACACCAAACATTTTGCACGTAGAGACCAAGTAATCTAAGACAGACCTCAAAGATATACAAGTAAACGACAGCTGAAGCATCCGGCTCTGAATTGTTAAAAAAATCTATAAACACAAAGCATGTCTCTCAGAAAGTGCTTGACAGTCAAAATAGAAGTGAGTCAGTTTTTACCAGTCGACTGGCTCTAAGGCGCAGACTAAAGAGAACGCGTCCAGGCATGCATAAATAACTTTGCCTCAACCCCCCGACAGATCGCGTAGGCCTGCTTCAGTTGTCGACGTGTACAGATGCAGAGAACAGCCAACACACAAAAGGCCACAAGCAGGGAGGTTTTGCAAGACACTGTTGTCAGAATCAGTCTACGGTTTTGTATGAATAAACTCAACCTTTTGCACAATCATCTTTGGCATCTGGACAAAAGACGTGTCGACTAGCGAGTCTCTGATTGTGTCTGTCTGCTGACAGGTAGTGTGCACTTTCTTTTAATGACAAAAGCTACCTGCTCTGGTGGAAATTGATGCATTGAGAATAATAGAAGTGAACTAAAAGCCAACAACGGTAAACGGCGAGCTAAATCTCTGTAAAGCCCAGGAAGTGGAAGATTCAAGGGATGATTCTCTGTGGTTTCACCACTGAGAGCGACGGTGTTTTCAATATAGCGCCACAATTTGTTATTAAATATAATATTGTTTTGCTGTCGTTCCTTGAGAATTTCATGTTCTAGAAAATCTACAGTCTTTAAACAGTTAAATAATCCCCCAAAAAAGAGCCACTACTCCACTTCACTTATTGTGGGGTCTCCATGGCGACGGAGCGAACTAAAGCAGCTGTTCGCGCCCCAGGCAGCCTCTGACTGCACAGATCGTTGTCGTCGCATCGCTCTGTCCAACACTCGTCTAATGAGCAGGATACCTGACAGCGTCACACAGTGATTAGAAATCATTTCTTTGAGTAATGAGTCCAGCGCTGGATTGGGGAGGGGGGGGGGTGCGGTCAGCAGGTTTTCTGTCATCCTCGTTTCACACACTGTGTAAGACTGAGCGCACCGCCTCGGGGCGCCGCAGGATAACGTGCCGAGCGACCCCAGTGGCGCTGCCGCCCATGATGCCTCGCTCCCCAGGGAGACGGCCGAAGATGCATTACACCAAACAAAGGGTTATACAGCGAGAGCTGAATGTGGCAGCAGAGGGTCCACGCGGCTCTCCGCTAGGCAAAATATACAACACTGCACAAAGTCACAAAGATACACAAACACACACTTTATTTTCATTTCTAATAAAGGATTGTCCACATTAGTCTCACATTACTAAAAAAAACCTGTTAAGTGTTAACTTGGACAGTCAGCATCGGCAGTAATGGTCAGGTAGGGGCAGGTCCGGCATGAGAGTCTCATGTGGAAAGACGATTAAGGGCTGAAATCATAAACAGATATAGAGGGATTCTCCAGATGGTGATTTATTTCACCATGTGGGTTAAAGTAGTCAGGCCATATGGAGCATTTCTGTTGAACGTACCAAATACCCGTGTTGAATGAAAAATACATGTTTTAACTAATTTTATTGGGTCGGTGGAGCTGTACTAAGCTGAAAGAAGCATGTGTGCGTCCAGGGTGAAACTCGCAGTCCTAATGGAGCGATTTATTCCACAGTCACAGACTTGGGGCGGAAAGTCGACCCTGCACTGAAGGAGAGCTTCGGAAAAAAAGGGGTCAAATGTGAAGGAAAGGCTGAATTAGTTAGAATAATAATTATGCCCCCAGCAACACCACAGACTGTCAGCAGCTGGAATAAGAGCACAGAAATACTACAGGAGATCTGAATGGAGTCTTTGTGGAGTAAAACGGTGACATATAGACAAGACAAAATATAAAACAATTGTGTATGTGTAATGTGTAGCGGCACAAATAACTAACAGGAGTAAGATACGTAAAATAGAGAATCCTCCCTGACCAGTCGGATAAGACCATCAATAACGGTTCTCAGGGGGCTTCTGCCTGCCTCTCCTCCAGCACAGAGTTTCAAATCTCGCGTTCAAACGTAGCTCCTCCCAGGTTGGACAACATGACATTCCTTTCTGCCCGCAGGCTTTTTTATGACCCTCTCCCCCCTGGCCAAATCTAAAAAATATCTCTCACTGAGCCGACCAATCCCATTTCACTTAATATTACAATACCGATCACACCTTTGACCTAAAGTTTCTCCCTGTAAACATAACATAGCATGCATAATATCATTAAGAGCTGATACACTCGAATCGCGACACATCTTAAATCATCATATTTGATTACATCTTTACGTTTATCTATTATGTTTAACCAATTTTATATGGTCCAAAATAAAAATAAAAACCTTCATTGAGGAGAAAATATGGAAGGTTGAATCATCCTTCCCCCAGGCTCACCTTTAGCTTTACATTCTGGCAGGATGTCTTGTGTACAGTAATGAAATGACTTATGTAGATATTCATATATATTCATATTGCAGACATTAATCTAACATAATAATATAATGACCACAAATGTAATGATGCATGTAACAATGAATGCAAACCAATAGAAGGAGTGATACCTGTTTGCAGTCTTGGTGCTGTGGACTCCCTTCACTCTTTGTTCCCGGTTTCTTACAGATGGAGGGCAGAGTCAGATTACACGGGCTGTCATCCCAGCGCCCCTCCTGCACGAGTAAAGCAAGACACAAAGAAACGAGAGACAACACAGCTGTTAACTATAAACAAACAAAGGAGACCCGCTGTCAGCGAGAGTCCATTTGTCCGTTTGAGGGTCCATTTGAGACTTTGAGGGTCGGTGTGAAGGTGAAGGGGTTCACTCACGGCTCCCCAGATGGACACACAATCCTCCTGGGTGTTGCGGAAGTTGTTTGGTTCAAAGGGGTGCCAGTAGGTGAAGATGACGGGCGTGTGGTCAGTCCATTGGAAGTCCATTTGCATATCGGTGTCATGGAGCCCGATCCATAGCTGGTCGATATCTGAGTGTTTCAAGCCATTTTGAGGTGTTTTACTCGAGTAAAAGCAGCAACTAAACAAGTACAAGCATGGATTTAGAGAGGGTGAATCTAAGTAAGTAAACGCACACACGTTTTACCATTAACCTTGATGAAATGGGTTAAAATAGGGACACAACGATGACCATAATATGAAACTGAGGTTCCTTGGAGCAATTCCATGACCTAAATACTAGATTCCGTGCTACATGTGCTGTTTCTCAGCTCAGGGAAAAGAGTGAACGCCTTAGTTTCCACTACATTTCAGCTTGCTAGAGAGATGCAGGGGTGCATTTTTTTATGAAAAAAATGTAAACAAATACCTCGCAAAGATCATCATTTTTCTTTTTTCAGTCTGAAAGGCACATCTAAAATATCGCAGCATTTTGCTACCGTGTATATTAAAAGAAATAGAAGAAATCATAATCTTCGTTAGTTACACAAACTCCATTGAGACTTTTTCTATTTTTCAGAAAAACTCCTAATTTCCACTACCAGTGGGTTTTGTGTTATAAACAACAAAGTGGATTTTAACTGAGATCATTTCATTACATTTCTGGCTCACATTAGCAATCCAGTTCAGAAGAAAAGCTAAAAGGGTAATTATTAAAAAAATGGACAAATGACCTTTCATCAGGTTGCGGATGGTGAACTCCAGCTCAGGTAGGGTGTGGATGCTGAGCAGGTTGGCCTCCATCCTCTGACAGGTCTTCTGAGCTGAATCCCAGTCAATCTTCTCAGAGGTCAACTTGTAGCAGCCGGCCTGGAAGGCCTGCCAGCCCACGTCACACTCATATTTCTCATCATCCGCCCACGAGTCTGTGGGAGCAAGAAAAAAGATGAAAACCATCAAACTCTGAACGCACTGCACCTGCTGTAAAAACGTCTAAAAACTGACCAGTGGTGAAGGGGTCCAGAGTGGCATTGGGCCTCTTCTTACAAACGTAGGGCAGAGCTTCAGAACAATCGCGGTTTTGCCAACGGCCCGATGACTCGGTTCTTATCACAGCACAGTTCTCCTCCTCGGCATGGTTCGGTTGTTCTGAAGGAGGAGAAAAAGAAAACTCTTCAAAACGCCATTATTGCCGCGGCCCCCTTGTTCAAGGTATTTAGCCCCCGGATGCTCCACTTTAAAAACGGTAAAAGACTGCAAATGAAATGCCAGGTTTTTAGTTTAAATGGGTATTTAAACAAAAAAAATTGTGTTACTAAAATCAGCCACCACGCTCGTTCAGCCTTCTGAAGACCAGAGAAACCACAAGCTTTCAAAAAAGCCCAAAAGGTTGAATGTTTTTTTACAGTCTGACCTGACTCCCAGTTGAGATATTTGAGCGGTGAGGAGTCGGCCCATTGCCAGCCGCCATTGATGTCCAGGTCATTGAGGCCAATCCACAAAGCAGCACTGTAGCCGGTCAGGAAACCTAAAACGGCGGAAAGACGTCTTTCTCAGATGTTTCTTAAAAACATGTTTTTTTTCCCGTGTCATTTAAACGAAGACCTTATAAGAAAACATTTAATACTGTGCTTCCACTCAGGCCAAACAACCTCTCCTGTCATGATTTCAACTGTGAACAATGTACTGTACAATTGTTATATAACAATGGACTACTATTGGAAAAAGGGTCGAAACAAGTCAATTATTCCTGCTGGTGGAGTTAATGTGAATACATTTCATCGCTTTAGATGAAGGGGTCAACCAAACAACTAGAAACTCTTTTTAACAAAAAGTTCTTTTTGGTTTTATTTTTAAATTCAGTTTTTCTCTCTCTTTAATCTTCTCCAATATATCAATAATTATTATCTAACTGAATTCTCAATGTTGATTATTTTTTGCCATCTGCCTATACCCGAGGTTCTATTTGCTGCAGGAGGCTACAAGACCCAAACGCACGCGTTGACCTCACCGTTGATGTACGTCTGCTCGTGCAGCTTGGTGATGCTCAGCAAGTCGGCTCCCTGTTGCTGGCAGCTGATCCTCGCCTCGCTCCACGACAGCGTCGCCTGGAAGTTGAACTGGTAACAGCTGTCCGTCAGCGGGTCCGTGTCCCAGAATGTCTCGCAGCCAGTGCCTGACAGCGAGGGAAGGAGAAGGGCGGGGCGAAGGCAAACGGTAAGGTTTAACAGTTGGGCGAGAGGGCGTTGTTGTGGAGAAGCGGGGGCTAATTTATACGGCGTGGCCCGTCGCTCCGGTCCAAAAGCGATGACTCACTCTTCACAGGACAGAAGCCCCAACGCTCGTCTTTGCCGTAGTCGTGCGTGGTGGCGCACCACAGGTGACCGTCCTCGCGCCCGATGCCCGTGCAGTTGTGGAACCACTGGCCGTCGTACAGGAAGGGCAGATAGCAGGGGCGGCCGTGAGAGTTCCCCTGGATTGTGTAGATCTCTGGGGAGGAAAAAAAAAAGGGGGAGAACCTTTGAATCCCTGCACGCCGCAGGAGAGTCCCGCCGTGCTCGTGTTGTCTGAAGTTGCGGCTCTGAACTGCGCTGAACTGAAATGCCGCATCTGTTTTCCCAGTCGACTTGTGTAATCAAACACATGGGGAACAACAGAGGATGATGTTACAGTCAAAACAGCGATGTCAAATAGTGGTCAGCCCGAGGAAGAAGAAAGAAAACAAAAATAAAGCAGCTTATCAGAAAAATGCTGTTATGAACTTACTTTAAAAACTCAATAATCAGCTTTCATTTAAAAAAAAAAAAAAAAGATTAGATCAACATATTTGAATTCCATAGCGACATCTTTCTGCACCATGCAAGTTTAATCGATAAACTACTCAGTGTATCTATGTTTCTACAGTCTAACAAAACACCCTGAGGTCGCTGTATTGGTCTCCAGGTTCCAAACGTACAGTGTGACCTGAAGAAAAGAGCAACATGGAGAGGCAGAGGCTGGATGTGTAGAGTTACCAGGGCGAGTCAGGCCAACGGAAAGTAGGGCAGACATGTTGAACGCGGGAGGAAAGATCTGTGAAGCTCCCTCCCCGACTTCCCTCTCTACTCCACCGCTGACTGGCTGCAGTGGAGTTACTACTCCGCTGACTAATGTCGGAGGCATTCCTCTCTGGCGGCGAGTTACCGCGCGAAGAAACTCGTGAAGAGTCGGCACTTGAGGAGTTGAAAATGTCTAAGCGCCCAATTCCCTCCAGAAATTTTCTGCTCTTACGTCTACGGCAGATCTGGCTTTAATTGCAGGGAAGCGAAGCCCGTTTTGACTCCGCATGAGAGGCTGAGCCTCGCCGTTGGGTGTGTCAGTGAACAGACGTGACATTTGATATTGGTAAGACTGGTAGTGATGGAGGAAATGAGGCTTAGCTGTGAACCACCCTGGTTTAATCTGCACCGAAAACTGTACGTAAATACAGATATTCTCGAGGGAAAGGACAACTCGCCGTGTTTACTGCAGTTTACAAACGCCGGCAGGGTTTTCTTTGGCTTTCTGACTGGCAGTCAGCCACTTGTCCTCAAAGATGCCCTAAAAGTAACATCTTTCTAAATCCATTTGATCTGATACAGCTGTGGCACTGAGGCAGCACAACATACAGGAAAGGAGCAGCTTACTGGGTCACTGTATGAGGCTTTAAACACGCACCCAATGGGTGAGGTTCAATTCTTGTTTGTTTTTTTGGTTTACCTGGTTTAGGTGTATTATTTTTCTGGTTTGTTATTACTGAAGAGTATTTTTGTTGGCCAACCTCAGAGTACAGTATATCACAGCGGTTCTTTTGACAATAAGTAAATGTTATTTTTCCATCGGCGTAGTGCAGAAAATAAGCTCTGTGCCAAACAAACGTCCGCCATTCTTACAGACTCACATTTTCTTTGGTGATCACTAGTAGTCTTTTTGAGACGAGAATGCAATCGGCAGATGTAAAAAGCTAACCGCAGGTAACAACCAATCAACACCACATTCGCATGATTTAATTGTAGGTACGCTACACAAAAACCTTCACACTTCAACTATTACTTTAGAAATATTTAGATATTTTCTTATCTTGATTCTTTTAGTCTTTGGATTATTACTTTTATCACATCCATTTTTTCTGTTGCTGCATTTTAAATTGAAAATACCACAAAAACAACTTTGATTAGTGAAGTGGGTCTTTCATGTATTCTATTGTTGATACAATATTCTATGTTGCTCAGGATTTGTGATTTAAAAAGTTTAGAAAGTTCGACTGTCACCTGAAGAATCCACATTCTGCAAATCTGATCTTCTCTGATTACAAGCACACTCACCGCGATATGTTTTAGAGCACAGGTCCTGCCCCCCACCATGCAGCGTCCACTTGAGATTTGGAGCAGAGGAGCTTAAGGACATGTTCCAAAAGGTGGGTATGGGAATGTAGTTGTTAAGGTTGTCCAACACCTGGTCACAGTTCCAGGTCCAGTGTACTCTGGGAGGCTCGCGGTCGCAGGTGTACACGCCCAGAGGAGACTTGTCCAATCTGGAGGTGACATTCCCAGTGGTCACGCCCAGGCACAGGGAGGAGCCCAGGTTGAACAGGCGACCCCGGGTCACCCACTTCCAGCGCTGGTTCGCTTCCTCGCAGGACGTCGACAAGGTGAGGGAGTGATCCCGCACTCCCAGGCAGGCCTTGGGGCCCCCATTGAAGAAAGCGAACTCGTCAGAGTCCAGCGGCCCTGTGCAGACGGAGGGAAACAACGGCATCAGTCGATGGGGTTGATTGAAACGAGGTTGCATGCTAGCAGCTAATGCAGCAAGAGAACGGGTCAGCGGACGGATCAATATGTCCAATAACGGTCGCAGCGCTGGGTTAGAACTAGTTTGAATTGTGGCCTTGGATGTTCCTGCGTTATACGCTTTAGTGGTATTAATAATAATAATAATAATAATCCTGTAAAACCCTGCACACATTTTGTAGGAATCTTATGCAATGAACTGTGAAAAGTAGTGTTTTTAATTAAAGTTTAGTGCACCAGGTATCAAGAATGCATTACGTTCTCAAGGTTGGACCTGGATTCGCCTTTCATATTGTTCAGTACATTTTGCGATGCCCATTTTCCCTTGTTGGTCTGTAGGGTGACTGTGATACATCTGATCCAAATAACTGTCTGAATTACGTTGAATTAAACAAATACCGATGCTTCTATTGGTCTTATTTCAGTGTAATACTTGGAGGAACTATAGCTGCTGTGAGGTGTGGAATTGGACACCTTTGCAGCAAACGTTTGCAAAACACTGAGAGATACGGAAAAAACCCGTAGAACTTGACACATTCAGAGCAGTGGCTGGACGCCAGCCTCACTGACAGGAATACAGGAACAAAACACAACTCCCTTTTATTTGAAAATGTATGCGGTTTTCCTGTTGTCCTCCCCCCCCCCCCCCCCCACAATTATTTTACTGACCGATTGACTGATTTAAAGATCAGTTACCTAGAAGCCAGTATTGTGAAAATACTGGTGGTGTGTTGATGTGAGTCTGTGCGAAGCCGCAGGATAGAAAGTCAAGAGTGTAGGAGGGATTCTAAATTAAGAGTTGCTAAAATACACACAAATCCCTTCTCTCGGGCCTAAGATGTAAGGGGAGCAAAAATGAGACCCTCAGCATTCCTACTCGGCCGGCTCGTGAGAGTGGACAGGAAATGGGGAAGGTAGGAAAAGATCACTGGGCATTTCGCTGAAGAAAAAAAAACTCTCCTATGTGGACACTTCAGTCTGCGGCGTTTCCTGACTCTACGCTTAAACACTCCGAACCTCCAGCGCCGCTTTTATAGACACGGAGACAACAGAGTCACATCGAGAGCCCCATAAAAACTCCCTCCAATCTGGACCAGGCAACGCACACGCCCCCTTCTTGCACTCTGCGGTTGAGTTTCTCAGAAGTAGCGTGAGCTCATTTGCTTCTACTTGCAAGAGGGAAGCGGTGCCACAGAGGTTCGGCAGCGTTTTGGAAAGGCTCTCTGTGGTGCGATCAGGTGTAATCGATCGAGCGTGCCATTTTTAATTTTTTTTTTGAATCCCTTTTGCAGTAACACCCAGTTGTTGGGCTGTAAAGCTCACTGCGAGTTCATTGTTTTAAATCATGACGGATTCAAACCACTCAACTCAACACTCAGTTGCTTTGGTTCAAGGGTATCATATGTTTTTATGAGCCAGATCAAATTTAAAAAAAAGTGGAAAAACATTGAAATCTGAATATTATAATAATTTTTTGATTACAAATTGAATATTAGAGTTTTTGCGAGGGGAAATCTTGCTTAAAAAATAGTTGAATTGACTTTCTGTTGACTGACCGATAACCAAAAATCGCAAGCATTATATTTTGCATCCTCAAGATAGCTCATATAAACCCTCTGGGACAGGCTTGTCCTCAGTTGGCTGCTGCAATTCATCTCTACTCTGCAATTACAGTGGGGTGTCTACCACAACACACAATAAGATGTTGATCTACTATAATCTTAGCTCAGGATTTAATTACACCGTTTTTACTCAACACAAGTAAAAACTTTTCATAAACTAGCCGTAGCCAGAGCTAGACAATGCTGGCTTGCTTTCAAGAGACAAGGCGCACATGCCAGTAAATCGGCCTTATGCCGTTTTGCCACAGTGGGGATTAAAGCCACCTTTAAAAATAGACCACACTGCCGGCTCAGATGGTACATATGGGAAGGTTTTCACACCAGAACAAGCCTGGTAACAGTCAGCATCACTGTAAGTGTTGAGTAAAGATCGGTATTGACATAGTGACTGTATCAGACGGTCCTGGCGACAGCTTTTGAACCGGCAGACAACCTGAAGCTGCAGTTCCAGACAGCGAGAAGCCAAATCAAAGTTTTAATTCCAGTCTGAAAGGGACACGACTGGATGTTTGATGTGAGGGAAAAACTCGTGGGGATAATCAGAGGGAGTGCAGAATTCACGATTAACCGTAAGCCATTGAGCTCTGTGAAAGTTAAGCCACAACAGCTCTCCTGCTGGGATCTCATCCTCTTCTTTGGCCTGTCAACCGCCTAAAACTTCTTTCAACACCGGAGACAGTTTCCTGCTGAAGACAGGGTGGAACTCACTGGCAAAGACATGCGCCGAGAGATATTCCCAGAACCTCCACCTCCGCAGTTCTGTTGGACCATGTTTGAGGACAATACCCGAACGTGGGTGTCAAATAAACAGAAAATCTCGGTTTTAGAAATGAGGAGTTTAACAAACTTCTCCATATCACATTGTTTGGTGGAGTGTCACTCATTGCTGATGGCAATTAATTAAAGCATTCCCTTATTTTATACACTAATGCAGAGCGTTAGATGGCATTTATCCTGTAACCCTCTCCGTATTTTGACAGATGTATGAGTTTTTTTTCTTTCTTATTCCTTTAACTGACCACTGTGATAATGTGGCAAACAACAAGGCAGGAAATTCCAGCCTGCTGTGTTTGTTTCATTGGAGTTTAACGGTGGTCCGGCCTCTGAAGCGACCCGAACTGTGCAACCTCATCCAATGAAGTGAGGGAGAGGAGCAGCGTCACTCCGAAACAGTAACTAGAACCTCTGCAGTGTGCATGAAATTTAGAAACCAAAGTGCAAACCGTAGAAAGCGTTGTATCGTCCGCACACTGAAGTAAAAGTATAACAACTGTGAGACAGTAAACGCCTCCTGCTGCTGCCTCCAAAGATATATGGGAAACTTATTTTAAATCCTACTTTAGATGTTCGCCGTGCCCAAATAAACTCAAAATTAATTAAAGTTTCATGCAGTTCCGCCAGTCATCAATCCAAGAGAGAAGATTTCCTATAAATTATCTTGTATCATCAATGTAACCCTGTTTTTTTCCTCCGATGATTCCCATGAGATATAATTCAGAACTGCACAAAACTCTCATTAAGTCACAGCGGAAAAGTTCATGACAAAAGCTCCTCCATTTGGTCCAAAAGTGACTGAAAGGGGATTTTTTAACTTTGGCACTGAGGTAATTTGATGGCAGATGGTCGCAAGTCATCTGAAATTTGTGAAACTAAGCCTCGTCAAAAAGGAGCTGAGGATTATTCCGGATGCAGCCGTATATTGTACGAGATACCAAGTAAACCTACACGATCTTGTTATTTAACTCTGACTAACTCTGCACATTGTCTTCACTGCTCTCCGCAGTGTTCAGTACATAAAATTCACCGGATGGACTTTTATCTCTCATTCTGTGCCAAACAGAGAGACCATGCCAAACTTCTGTTGCAGTCCACCTCATCATGTCATTAACTCGTGGAAAGGTCACCGACAGTGCGCGAGGTACGCTGGAAAAGACTTTCTAGAACTTAATGATTTGGTCAATCTAATATTTACCCTCCACAGCATCCCATAAGGTATTATGGTCCACAGGACCAGACTGGATGTGTTAATTACAGCCCGTAACAGGGAGGTTAAGGTCACATCTGCCCGCAGGCTGCCGAATGGAGCGTCATCCAGGTTTACATTGCGACCAAGCCGAGTGGGCAAAAAGCAGAACAACACAGAGAAAAACCGAAAAAAGAGCACGATGCTGTCGGCTTGAAATAAAGTTAAAGTACACAAATAGAAATCACAATAGAGGCAGTACGCCAGGAGCCACTTCCCTACTGCCCCCCTCCCCTCCACATCTGGTTCCACTCACTGCGTGGACTTTTGGTTCGTGGCATATCGAGGCACCGAATCCCGAATACGCAGATATTCTCTCTCAGTATCTGCTTTATGAGGCGTTTTCTTACCGTTACGAGGACAAACGCATGCAGACTAGCTCTCTTTTTTGGTTTTGTTTTTACTTTTACATCAATGCAGTGAAGCAAAAGTTTATTTTTCTCACCCGCAGCGCCGCCCTTCAGTTCCACACCGAGGATGAATAAATATAAAGTGCATTTGTAAAATGTAAATTTCCCGTTTGTCCATGTTGTCCTCGATCCCTTGTTTCGGTGACGGCCGTTGCCTTGCATGCTCACGACTGACTTACAACACGCGCACGCACGCGCACACACACACACGCACGCGCGCCGCAAAGAAAACAACAACCAAACGGAGGCGGAAAACAGGCGAATGAGGAGCAGCGGCGGCCCGCGGAGCTTCACCCCGACGACGGTGCTGCGGAGTTGGTGGCGAGTTTTTGGCCGCTCGAGCTCCGTCCGCCTCTCAGTCAGAAGAGAGTGAAATGAATGGAGCGGCGTCAACGTGTGTGTTTGACGGGTCCCAACGTGAGGTGCGCGGACCTCCAGGCGCCGCTTTGTACCGCGGTACACAGCGGGACAGTAAAACACAACAGTGCTAATGTTTATAAAATGTAATACAACTAAGTATTTTGTATTTATTTTTATTTCACATTTCCTTTGTATCCAATGATATGTATTGTTTAATTCATTTTATTTTACTTTGAGAGCTTTGCCTCGTTTTCAATAACACTCAACATGATTTAAGGCCTTAATGCACAAGGAGCGTTGGAAAAAATACGTCGTTTTCAGATTTTTTTTTTAAATGTATTATTATTTCAGGTCTATTTTCTCTGCATTTAAAAACATGTTTTTGCATGTTTGTCTTGAGTTGCAAATTAGCTACAACAGAATTTTCCCAGGTTCAAGTTAAGATGCATCGGGTGGAAGTGGGGGAAGTTTCCGACAGGTTGCTTGAAGTGTGGCTTCGACCTCAGATTGCGAGGAGCAACAGTTGGCCATTCCCTTCGGATTAGTAGAGGGATTGTGGAAGTTTGCTGATGTTTTTATTGGATGAAGACGACTTACGACTCGGGACTTTGGGGTCCTGCTGGGGCTGTTGCTAGGAACCAGCCGGCCCTTATGTGACAGGTGGGAAAGTCGGGGAAGTATTCCAGCATGTTTTCAGTCCATCTTGGTCCCTGTCGTAGTTGTCCCTTGGGACGAATTCTGTTTGCAATTTTCATGGACCAAATCTCAAGGCAAAGCCAGGGGCCGGACAGTCTGGTTCGGGGGGGGACCACATAATTGCTTCTCTTTGCCGACAATGCGAGTCTGATGGCTTCATCTGAGAGATGAGAGTTGGCGCTATAGGGGGTTTGTTCTCATCTGGGTTGGGTTGAGGGGGTTGCTATACTCCAAGAGGGTCGTCGGTATCTCAGGGTCAACGGGTTGGTTGGTGTGGCGTCAGCAGTTATGCAGCCATTGGTGGGAAAGGAGCCGAGCCAGAAGTCAGAGCTTTTGCTTCAGCGGTGAATCTATATTCTAACAGCTAAGGTAATGCATTTAGGGAAGTGACTCGCAGAACAAGATTCAAGTAGATTAAAGGTATTTCCGCCGTGAAATGGCTTAGCTCATCCGAGGGGACGGGAAAAGGAGCTAAGGCGTCCGGAGGGGGGGCGGAGTAGAGCCGCTTCTCCTGTGTGTCAAAAGGAGTTAGTTGAGGTGGTTCACGCATCTGATGCTTCCTGTTTGCATCGTTTTGGAGGTTTGACCCCTGGGGGAGACCCAAAGCACATTGAAGATATTATATATTATGTAGATATATCTCATTTGGTATTCCTCAGGATGACATGATATTTTGACCCACCCAACTCTGCCTGATAGGCGTACCCTGATATCCATACTCTAACCCTCACTAATTCCTCATGTGCTGTTTATACTTGTACAGATATTTTTTGACTGATTTATACTTTGGCGAAGTCCACAAGGGCAGAATTCTAGTTCCCTAGAACAGATATTTTTTTAATAACTTTATGCTTTGAATCTGTGTCGACACGTTGAACCGAGTGTTTGGTAAACAATGACGTCGTAACATCACAGATGGTCTCACTTTAACACCCTGGAAGCTCTTGTTCTTGTTTGATACTATTCCCTGGTTTATCTGGTCTTTTGCATGAGGAAACTAGTTCTCCACCGTCTCAGATTCTTCCTTTGCAGGATCCTGTTCCTAAAAGGCCGCAGATTTCTGTACACTTCATAAAACAAGACTCCCAATTAAAGTTTACCAGGCTTTCACTGACCTGTATTGTAAAGTAACTGCAACTACATCTCAGCATCTTTCCATACAAATCTAATTCCATTTTTGGAATTGGAGCAAATACGTATTAATCAAAAAATAAGCTAGTCAATAGCTATTTATGACAAAAGATAAGCTCACTCAGCAAAAGTATTAGCCAATCAGAGGCTGAGTGGGCCGGTACGCCCCTTTGCCATTGGACGATTTGTGATTTAGCGCTTTAGGCTACCTTCTTTGTCTATTGCCACAACGAGCCAGCCCCAAATATACAGCACAATATGGAAGCATGAACGGGTGGATCGGATGCATCACCATGAACATGAAAAGCATGTCCAAGGAGGGAGAGCAACTTGGTGTCTTCACAGAAAATCAATGTTTGAGGTCAGCTCACAGGGCACGCAGGCAATTTATTCAATTCGTGGCCTTTTATAGATTCACTTGCATGCCAATTTCTGTGCTAGAATGCTCAGTGAGTTTGTTTAACATCATGGTTTCACAAGAACTTGGGAAATGTTGTCATTTCCTGACAGAAGCATGGTGACCGTACCTGCTCTATGTTCATCAGGAGGCTTTCCTCCGACTGCTGCACTACACTGACATCACATCAGCCCGTTCTCAATTAGAATAAAAGCCAACTACCACGCTGAGGGTGGATGTGAGTCTTCTCTAAGGAATATCTTTAAAACTATTTTGTTCAACACTTGAAAATGTATGGTGAAGAATACGATTTAAAGACTACAAAGTATGACTTAAATAAATGCTCATGGTAAATACAATGAGACAGAACAAACACATTTCAACCAATAGTATTTAATGGTTTATGCAACCCTCTGCTAAGGCCCAATCTCCCCCAACAGTAAGGTAAACCAGTCACTTGCATTTTATTGGCCAAGAATAAATTCAAACATTGCTAAATAAATATGTGTGTTTATGGTATGGGGGTCAAACGACAACAGTTCTAATTAAAGGCAACTTGAAAAACACAAGTTTTTTCCATAAAACTGGTTAAATTGAAATGTTAAAAAAAAGTAAAAAGGGTCATTTCTCAACAGCTTCCACTCCATATCAAGTGACACTAAAACCATTCTTTATAAAAAATGTTGGGTGGAACACTGCCACCAGCTGGAAGTTATAAGCTTTGGTCATTGGAGGAGACGGGGAGGGTAAGGGGAATAGTAGCTTCTGTGCCTCCTCTTCACAAACTACCTGGGTCTGGAATTTAAGCAGGGCAGGGGATCCCAGGACAGCAGGTAGGGGCGACGTGGTGCCTTAGATACTTCGGTCTCAATGCAATAATTGGACAGACTGGTTCTCTTCAAAAGGTTCATTGAGATGCAAACAAACAGAACGTTTGAGCTTGGGGAGTTCTGACTACCGTGGACCAGAATGGCTCATGCATGGGTGTATTCGGCAGTGAGTATGTGTCCCAGCGCCATCACAGCGCCTCCCATCTGGCCAGGCTGAAGCACTTCTACATTTTCTCTTTTTCTAAGCAAAAAAAAAAAGAACAAACCCAAAACAGGAAATCCCACTTCCACCAAACAGAGTGCCCTGCCTCTTACTGTGAGAGTCGTCCAGGGCTTTGACCCCCAGACCAACGCCACCACTTTGAGAAAGCAGGGTGGGGGGGACGCGAGATGGACGAAGGACGTGGGTCTCCTGTGCCAACCCGTCCATGACTGCTCATCCGTCCCTTGCCGTCGTCTGACCCGTTTCTCTTTCTCTTCATGGCAAGGTGGGATGCTGTTGGGAGGGGGAGGGAGGGGTGGGAGACACACACACATTGCCGTCCACCCCCAGCCCGACCCCACTATTTCAAAAGGATCAGTCAGTCAGATTGACGCAGGCTCAGTTTGAGGCGCTGCTGTTGGAGGAGCTGGATGTGGAGGCCACGGCCGTGCCCGAGGTGCCCGAGGAGGCCACCGACTTGCGGATGTGGGGCATGAGGAAGGGGTCACTGGCCAGCTGGTGCACATCGATGCGGTCCTCCTTACGGTAGACTAGACAGCGCCTTATAAAGGCCTGCAGAAAGACAGAGTGACAGTGGAATGACTGAGCAGGTACACATCTTAAGAACAGAAACCAGCCCTTTACCATTTTTATATGGTATGATATGAAATTCCTAAATATGTGTTAAAAAAAAGAAAATACGTGGAGGGTGTTGTGGTAGTGGCAGATGCAGATGCACGGGGAGACAAAACCAAAGCAGAGGTGACCAAGTGCAGTACCTTAGCTTCAGGTGTGACAACTGGTTTTGGGGGAAACTGCACATCTGTTGCCTTTAGTATGGTGTTCTCCTGCAGGATGTCCTGCTGCGACTGGTTGTGGCCAAAGGGCTAAAGAGCACAGAGAAGATGAACGTGCTTGAAACAAAACCAAAACTAACTTTTTGGTAAATTTTTAAAATGTTCCTAATATACTTTGTCTAAAGATAATTATCTTAACTGTTGGTGTTAATTTATGTATCCAAAGGAAACTATCCCCTTTGCATTTTGACCAACTTAATTGCAATGTCTTCTTACAACATGGTTTTAGTGTCTTACCTTGCGGCCGTACAAACACTGGTAGAAAATGACTCCCACAGACCACACATCCACCTTGTTGGAGATTTTAGGTGGTTCTTTTCCAACCACAAAGCACTCTGGGGGCAGATACCTAAAAGACAAAAGAGTCATTAATCTCATTCAGTTTCAACAGATGAAATAGTCACAACCCAAAGACAAAGTGTGCGAATAACTATTTCAGTTCACCGTCCAAATATATGAAGTAGTAGCATTAGTACCAATTACAATAATTTTAGTAAACTCTGCATTGTGTGATTGTCAAGCACAAGGGTAAGTTATTGTATTTATTTGTGTATGAGGCCTCTTGCATAGGTGACCTTTGGGTGAGATTGAATATCCAGCCACGTCGTAAAGGTGAAGGATGCATCAACCAAATTGATCCTGGAGCTTTGTACATTCATATACCAAGAAACACCTCAGTAAAATTATAACTATGATAATATAATAAAAGGGGGTTGTTGATTCATCACAATACATTTTTGCATATGAATCTTTGGTATATCGCTCTCTGGGTGGATTTTCTCAAATCTAGTTCATTGTTTCTAGTTTAAGTCCATTACTCTCCATTTCTTTGCATGATGCTTCTACAAAAAGTGGTTATCAAGTCTACGGATCCCAATCTGATTATGCATCCAAAAAACTCATACTGCACAAATTCTTCCATTTTATTTTTTTCTACAGCATTCAAAATGTCTCAACACATAATTACTTTTAGTTGCAGAGAAGTAATTCAGTCCTGCCCAACATATAGTTGAACCTTGAGGACAGATTCTCAGGTTGTGTGAAATATTTTATATCAGAAATGGTGGCACCCCTGAGGCACAGTGGCATCATCCGGTGTAAACGTACCAGTATGTGCCTGCTCCCTGTGACGTCAGCTCCATCCCGTCCACTGAGTTGTAGCTGTCATCATCCATGATCTTCGACAGGCCAAAGTCTGTAATCTTGATCTCCCCACAGGCGGTGCCGTTCACCAGGAGGATGTTACCTGAGCAGGGCGAGGAAAGAATTTACAGGAATCAGAGAAAAAGGCTGCATAACAAAAACAGATATTGACTGACCATCATCAGCAATTTAACTGCAGCGGTTAATCTAAATGATAGTTTTACTGCTATTTTAGTTTGAAGCAGAAAAACTGAGAAAGATTGTGTAAGCTCATAGAGTTAAAGAGCCATTGCGCATTGGAGACTCACCGGGTTTAAGGTCGTAGTGGATAATGGGCGGTCTGATCTCATTGAGGTACTTCAGGGCGTTGACTATCTGCATGATGATGGAGCGGCCCTCCTTCTCTGACATAAGCTTGTGCTGCTTCAGGTAGAAGTCCAAGTCATTGCCTTCGCAGTACTCCAGGACCGTGCAGAACCTGTTCAAAAACAAGGATTAGTCCTTCTCTGCAGGATTTGGTAAATGCCAGTTAATGCTCTACATAATAACAAAAAGCTCGGTTAAGACCTTCTGGACAAACACAATTGTTTAAATGGAAATTACTTACGAGTCAGTGTCAAGCGAAAAGTAATCGTAGAGTTTAACTATTCGTGGGTGGTCCAGTTCTTTGTGGATTCTATATTCTCTGCATGCGTGTCTGAAACAAAGCATTCCAATGGTTTAATAACTGGTGAAAAGAATATATTTGATGGTGATTGCATATGCTCCATTGTATTGCGAATGCAAATGGCACAACCCTTACTTGTGATAGTTTTCTTTCTTCTCATCCCTCCAGTTCTTGTTTAACTGGTGGATTTTGACAGCAACATACCTTTGTTCTGTCAAGTCAAAGGCCTGGGGAAAAACGTCTCAGATTAGTTACATGACGCATTTAGCACTTTGCCTTACAAATACCTGCAAACTCATAAGGTGTGGAACGGGCGACAACGGGGAGAATATGACACAGCCCATTTTTTTCTCCCCCAAAATGTGAGCCAATGCAGAATAATTGATCATACAAATCAGGCTGGGTGCAGTTGGATTTTCTTAAAACAAATATGTTTGGCCGCCACACCACATCCACGTTGTGTGATAAAACCTCAAGCTTTTATAAGCACGGCCTTTTGATCGCTGTTAAAAATAACGCGTTAAATCGATGCGATTAATGTGGGTGGCCGAGATTAATGCAATAAAATATTTTAACGCAGTTAGCGCCACTTTGTTTACTTCTGGTTTGCCGGAATGAGTGGCAAAACGGACTACTTTAGGCACCGCTGTGCTAAGCTGGCTGCTAGGCTAAGCTATCTTTTGGGCTACTGCAATCTGAACATCTACCCTGCGCGGCACAGAGTCTGCAGAGAACCACAACTGAGTCCCTAATAGACAGTGGTGTGGAAACACTCCTGCCTAAATGTCGGGAGATTGTTTGGTACTTCAAACACAGCCGCCAAATGCTGGAGAGTTGGGAGCAAAGTGCATGATGACAGCAGGAAGAGTCGCTATCAAATGTGTGTCGTTTTGGGTTTAAAATACGATTAAACAAGTGTCTAAAATACACACTTTCCAAAGTGATTACTCATTATTTGTAGGATTTAGTCTTTGGAAGAAAAACTTTTCATCTTAATGAATGAATTTCAAAATGTGCCATTAATTAGTTATTTTCATTTATTGACAGTCCTAATGTTAACAATTATAAAAAAAGTGGTTCTACCTTAAAAAGAGGAAGAGTTTTCTCTTACCTTGTAAACTTCACTGAAACCTCCCCGTCCAAGTAAATGGAGTAGCAGATACCGGTCATTTAGCGTAGGGTGATCTTTGAATCTGTGCAGGGTGAGTTATTTAAGTATTTAAAGAAGGCACAGCAACACACCACCCAACAAACCTGGAACAGACTACTTAAGAAGAAATCGTACTGAGAATTATCCTCGTTGTGAATCCTTTTCAGCTCTCGAATGTGGAGGTTTCGTACTCGCTCCAACCTCTCCAGCTCTGCCTGGATCTCTGCTTCCTCCTGCAAAGGACAACAAAACGTCAAGATCTGGGCAGTTAACAGAGCACACAGGAAGCATTTAAAAACGCAAATGCAATAAATCAGACATTACCTTTTTTAGATGGCCTAGTCGTAGCTTAAAGATTTCCTCTTGTTCATGGTACTCTGCCTGCGATAACCTGCAGGGACCCAGAACAAACCTTGCTTCAACTTTGAATACGCACGCAGCAGGAAAATGGCTGGTATGAAAAAGAAGATGAACAACAAACAAAAGCATCGTACGCTTCACTTTCTGTTCCATTGGTTTTGCTTTTGCGCTTGTTTTGCTCCAGGCTGGGAGGTGGCGTCTGGGCCATGGAGGGCGGCTTGCGTTTGGCCAGCAGCTTCCTCTGTCTTTCAATGTCCTCTCTCTGGGAATTGATCCGTTCTTGTTGTCTGATAACAGAAGAAACATTGCAATAACATGTAGATATACTGGATTTCTTGCGTTTGAGTAGGGTGTGATCTCATGAACTACAGGTGGAGGCTTTTAAGATGGCAGCTTTCTGTTACAGCAGCACGGTCAAATTCTGCGCACTCTTGCCATGCGGTTATTTGTGCTATGCTTTGAATTCAGTAACGAAATGATACTCCCTCAAGTCTTGAAGCGTGTAGCAAAAATATAACAGGCAGATGGGGTGAAATGAGAAGTTAAAATACTAAATTCTCACTTGATGAGGTTTTGGAAGGCATATCCATCCGTCCACTGCTCAGAAAAAGACGCGCCATGTCTCACTGTGGTGAAGTGACCGAGTCTTAGCCTGTCCTGCATGCTTTTGTCCCTGCACGCCATCTTCTCCTGTTTGGACTAAAGGAAGAACGGAGAAATACAGGCGTCAAGGCATTGCTTTTGAATAACAGCTTCTAAAATTCCCCTCTTTTGAAAAAACACAAAACGGTCCACGCTTTTGGGGAGCTTGTTTAAATTACATCAGTGTTCAATGAGAAAATTACTTTTTCAATCAGCAGCTTCTTGGACATGGTCACACACTTATTTAAGCGTTCCTTGTATCGTTCCAACATCCTCTGCTGTTCATCAATTTGTCTCCTGAGATCACAGTTTGCCTGCAGCAGAACATCAAACAAGCAAGAGAAAGGTCTGGTGAATGAATAAAATGTGTTTATTACTTCTACAAAGAGAAAGAATGTATCAACTATAAAACACGCCAAGACTGAAAAACCAAGACATACAGCATTATATTTTCAAAACCATGATAAATGGCAAGCAGAGTAAAGAAACTTAATGAGATTAGTACCCGCAGCAAATCGTCTATTCGGCCCTCCTTCTTCTCCAGGTCAGAGTTCTTGTTGATCTCCATTGCTGTTAGTTTCTCTATAGTAAGGTCAGACTACAGGGTACAGCCAGCAGAAAAACAGTGTTCATGTTAATGGTGGATCACTTTTGTATCAGTACAACAGGAAGTCCTAAAAGCTGCTGAATGGTTTCCACGTAGTGACGGTATATAAAACAACATACAGTGCATTTGGAAAGTATTCACAGTGCTTCACTTTTTCCACACTTTGTTAGTTTACAGCCTTTTTTCAAAAGAGATTAAATTACTTTTTGCATCCAAATTTTACACACAATACCCCATAATTACAAAGTGTAAAAAGCCCGTATAAAAATTTTCACTGTCATTATGGGGTAGAATTTTGAGCAAAAAAATAAATATAATCAATTTTGGCTGTAACACAAAAAAAAGAAAAGAAAGTGAAGCTCTGTGAATGCTTTCCGAATGCACAGTATTTTGGTTTATACACCAATTACACAACAACTGCACATGGAATTATAATAAAAGCTAAATTGGATTTTGGGAAGCCATCTCTGATGGAATGTCAAGTACCTGTGTGGCTTTGTGGAGCATGTGAAGAGACGCTGGCTTCAACGAACACGTTGATTGCTCTGTGTTGGCCGAGTTCACGGAGGAGGGGCTTCCCTGCTGCACCTTAGAGGCAAAAACATTCATGAATGCAAAATAAAAAACACTTACACAGATAGAGAGGGTCTTAAAAACTGGATTTAATGACGTTAAAGAATTCATGAAAGCCTGCAGAAGTCAGTTATAATAAAACATCCGGCAAAAGAGATTTGCCTGAAGGTTATAACCATGAACTCTAGACTATCCGACGTCATTCGATTTAGGCTTGTTAGTTATTGACAGGTTTCTTTTGCATGACAAGGAATGAGTAGTACCATGGTAAAGATTTTCTTTCATCGTTTGACTGTTACCAGTTTTTGTAGGAACTTTGTACCAAAGGGAGTTTGAATCCCTAATGACTCGTTTTTTACAGACTCCATCCGGTTCAAACCAGGGATGTTAAACCAAGCGTGGAAGACAGAACGACAGATGAAGAGAAAAAGCAAGAGACAGATGATAGAGCAAACGGCCTCACCGTGACAGGGGGGTTGGAAAGTGAGTGTTGTGGGGAAGAACGGACCACTGGTGGAATTCCCCTAGCAGGGCTGGTACCAGGACCGCTGCCTCCCGCAAACTGACGAGTAAAGAGAGAAGAACCCAGCTCAATGCAAAGACCAAAAGGGCAAGAAAGGGCGTAAGAAAGTATGAAAAGTTAACACTCAAGCAGGAGTGTTTCTGGATACACATACAAACTCAAAGAAATCAAACTCACCTCAAAATAATCACTAATTTTATGTCCCCTGGCACCTGCTTTGCCTGGAGGAGAGACGCGGGGAGTTTAGAAAGAGACGGATATTTTAGATAAGTGACGAAAAAAAAAAAAAAAAAATCTTACCTTGGCTGTCAAAATGGTCTGCTTTCCGTTTCCTTACTCTCTGGTCGTTTGCCTTTTTCTCGGGAGTCTGTCAAGAAGGTGGTGTTAATGAACCGTACATAAGGGCAACGCACGCAGGTGGTTGACGTGAAGAATCGTCTTCATTTGCAACTTCACGACTGACCTCCAGTTCTTTGTCACTGAGCGAGCCTACGCTGCAAAGACTCTGGTTGGACGACTCATTTTGGTTCTGACCCGAGCCCTGTTGAAATGATGGAAAAACACATTCCAAAATAAAACACAAAGAGCAAATACACATAAGGATGCAACACACATGCAAGAGATATCGTCACAGAAGCGTAGATTCAAACTGCGTGCACATTAGTGATGTAACGGACCGTTGTTGATCTGCGACCCGTACAGATCCACTCTCCTGGTTCGGCGCGCATGCGAACTGCTGATTCATTACACAATCTAAGCATCGTACAGTGTAATAGTGTAATTCAGCGGAAATTATGATCAGATTATTTGCATTTTCAGTTTTTGTGCGACTGTTAATAAATACGTTACCACAATGTGTTCAGACCAAATCTTGTAAAATGCAGTTCTGGTTAGAATATTGAATAAATCCAGTGGTTAAAAAAGGATATTTATCCCTATAATAAATATTAGAAAGATAATTTATCGTGTTTAACTTCCTAATGGATTATATATATATATATATATATTTTGTATATATATATAATATATATATATATATATATATTCAAATACATCTTCAACAAAGTATAAAGGATAACACTGACTTCAGAGCAGTTTAAAAGGCGTTTGGGGTGGTGGCAAAACCCCCCAAAACATAGCACTGTAGACCAGCTGCCACAACAAAACAAAACCGATGTGTATCTGCCAATGAGGACGATCAACCATTGGCATAAACGTCACAATCGATTCATTCTGAGGGTTCCATTTGCTCCCTTTGTATTTTATGTTGAGCTGATCCGTGAGGCTTTAATAGGATCTGTGAAATAACCCAAACCATTTTGTGTGCACACTTAGTGCACACATGTATATTATCATGCATGCACTTCTGTGGGAGAGCACACACACACGAAAATGATTGAGAAACTAAGGAAACGGATGCCACGGTTGATCTTACTACTGTCACCATTAACTTTCCACAGAATCTAAACCTGTATCAGTCCTAAAGCCGGTTCCCTAGGTGATGCCTGTCAGTCAAATGAATCACATCAAAATTCAGCAGGCACTGTCCAATCAGGGAGAGAGAGAGACTTAGTCATTCAGCGCACACTACAGCTCCCTCACTGAACCCTCCTAAAATGGCTGAACATTAGGCATGCCGCCGGGGATGTATTCCTTCCTCTGTCTGTCACCTTTAGATAATGTCATCCCTTTTTTCCGTGTTCACCGTGGTCCTACCTGTTCTTTTCCTATCTCTCACTCACTCCTCTCATGCACTCTCCAGCAATTTCAGTAGGTCCTGTGTCCCATTACCAAAAAGGTGTGCAAGCCATCTGTCCTCAAAGGAGAACCATTTCCCTTTTTTCTTTTTACAAAGCCAATGATAACAGAGAGAGCAGCATTGCCACAGAGCTGATCAAGGTCAAGAATAAAAACCATGCTGCTCTGTAACGTTGGTTTTTAGACCATTAACTAATGTTTCTTCCCAACCATTTGTTGGTAGTCTTATACCATCCCCCACCCCTCCTAAACATATTGCTTTTCTTGCCATACAGGGTGGCTGTGGCATGATGCTTTAGCGAGAGCCGCCATTTTCTTTGCGGCAGCAGACATGCCATTCTCTGGGCTCAGCTCTGCCCATGGCTGGCACAGGGCCCACCCCTGGCGCCGACTCTCGCTCCCTAACCGAGATTCCAAGATCACCTTCCACAAAAGAGAGCTCCATCCACGCCGGAAGCGAGACGATTGAAAGCTAAACACTGCCTCCCCTCACACCTGGTCAAGAACCATTTCTGCATTCCTCCTCCTACCACCCCTGTCCTGTCTGTGGCCTTTTTTGGCGGGCATCGCCCCTCGCATATGCAGCCTCTATACCGCGAGCCAGGGAGGGATGCCATGTCACACCAGCCAAAAAAACACAGACACAGCTCAACCTTGTTCAGAGACAGACAAAGAAAAAAGGAGTGGGGCCAAGCTTGTCCGGCCCAAACAGCAGAATGATACTGAGGTGGAGGGAGACAAAGAATGGAAGGTTAACAAAAATGTGCAATTCAAGAAAATCTGTGATTATAAGCAGCTTTGATAAAAGGAAAAAAAACAAAGTTGTCATGCAACAACTCAGCAACACCTGCTGTGAGACAAACCTTAGCCACCCCGACCCCAGTGAAGCGAGCTTCCAATAGCTCCTGCCGTCGGGGGTCCAGGCTATGCAGTTCTTCCATCATGGCTGCAGACACAAGAGCAAAAATTAAGTAAGGCTTTGTGAGGTCTGGTATATTCAAGTGGGAGTGACAGATCACCGTTTGAAAAGGAATCAGTTGTGATGAGTCATGACTGTTTTTAGCTATATGGATGTGGAAAATTCCTGTTCCTGAGTCATCAATAAGCCTGACAATAATGGGTTTCCATATCACGCGTGTTGCAAAAGCGATGTAACTTGAGCACTCTTAGCACAGAAATGCTCTCAAATATAGCCAATAAGGGACACTAAATATGGATCATGTACTCGGGCCAGATGTGTGGTCAATGGCTGCAAAAGGACAGCATCATGTTATCACACCTTGGCATTAGGGGCCTTAGTTACATGACGCTGGAGTTATGAAAGGGCACTAATGGAGGGACTCTCAACTGCACTCACGGCAATAGAAAAGGACACAGTGGACAATAAGTACCGAGCTTGCCCCCCTGTGCAAAGGTTAACGTTTAAGTTAACGTTACACGCCCAACTGCTACGTATACCAAACATAACATTAAAAAAGTGTAAACTAACGTTATACTATAAGTATGTATCCACACACCCACGCTGCGTTAATCCTTATTCTCGTGTAACTTCAACTGGGATTGGGTTTTGCTGGCTCAGCTATGGATAACTATTTAAAATATCGTCATGACAGAGAAGTAGCTAACTCGGCTAACACCGAATACATTAGCTAGCAAGCATCCCGCTGCTGGCCGTCACTTAACGTTAGCTAGCATTGCGATATACGAGCTAACAGTTAACGTTAGCTAGTAACGAGACATCGGACTTTGTCGAGTAACGTAACGTTGTTACCCCCCACCACCCCCCCAAAAAAGGCAAATGGTAATTGTGGCTGCCCCAATGACAGCTGTCTCATTTGATAACGGCTCAGAAAAAAAAATCCGCAAGTACTGTCAGCAACGATAGCATTTTTTGACAAACACAAGTGAACTAGCGTTTGATAGCCAACAGGCTATCTTCTACTCGTCTGTCAAGAAGAAGCATCCTCTCGGCGGTGTGACGGGTGCTGCTGCCACGACTCCCGGACTCACCGCATCAACGTTACACGTTCAGACACATTGTTTCGCTTCACGGCCCCAAACGAGATTCTTACTGCTATCAAGCCTCGGTCCTCCGGGGGGCCCCGTTAACCCCTGAAACTGTCCCCCGTTGTCTCCCCGGTGCTCGGCGGACCCTCCCAGAGTAGGCCGCATCCACAGCCGCGTCCCTCGCGTGCGGACTGTTAACGGTCGAGACGGGAGAAGCGCGCCGCGAAGCCGTGGGGCAGAAGACGGTCGATTTCCCCTCGGAGGCCTCGACAACCCCCGGGGGTGACCCTAAGCCCGCCTCGCTGCGCCGCGCTCCTCAGGCGGGGACCTCCATCGCATCCCTCTCGCCGAGGTCCATGCCGTGCGCGCCCGGTAACTCGCTCCACACAATGGCGACCCCTGACAAATCTGCGTTTTTCACCTGGTATCGCTAAATGATGTATTTAAACCACAGCGTTAGTTTCCTCCCCCAGTGGTGAGATCAATTTCGGGTCCTGGCTTTCAGCTCGATCAAAACAAAGTTCGGCTCTGGTTGCCTTCCTGGCCGCGGGGAAGAAACCAATCTGTTTGGGAAGTTGGTGCCGTTGCGGGCGTTTCGGTTGAATCCGGATCGATTCGGTTCGGTTCTCATGTTTTCACAATGTAAACAATAATCAGGGAAAATCTCATATTCTCTCGTGAGATCGTTCAAGTATTTTCACCTCCGTTCAGTCCACGCCTGCCCCAGATCTCCTCTCTGGACCAATGGCAAATCCCTCTGCACACAATGCGGTTTAACAGCGCCCACCCGGCCGACCACCGAGATGGTCACTTAGCAGAAAGTTGCCATTCCCAAGATGTTCACACCCACACAGGCAATTTATGGAATACCTGTACACTGGAACCACGATTAGAGATTCATACATGCAATACACCGGGGTGGGAAGTAGTTAAAGTACAATAGGGACTACCGTAATTGTTAAACAAAACAGATGTATATCTTTAATGATTTTTGTAGAAATAGGTGGAGTTATTCCTTAAAAAAAAATGCAATTCATTCATTAATTTCCAACACCAGGTGGTTAAAAGGCAGCATCTGGCAGATTAGAAACATCCAAACAAGGGTAACCAGCCCTTTACGAGATTATTGAACATATCGGCACACAATGAGAAATGATCATTCTTATAGGCAGTATTGCTGCTCCATCAGGAACACTGAGCCATAAAAAAAAAAGTCCATCAACATTATGGCAGCGGAGAGACTGTAAGGCCTTCACAGCATTTTACAACTAGTTGCATCCCCTTTATTACAATTATTAGAATTCACAATAGAGCTTCTCAATTCCATGCGTCCACAGAAAAAGGTCAGAACCGCCTCGTTTTGAGCTCCTAGTTTCCATTGTAGTTCAGGCGATGGTCGAGCTGGGCGGATCTTTTCCCCGGACTTGGCCGTCGGATCCGAGTGGCTGAGCTGGAGCCTTTCGGTACTTGCACTGGATCCACACTCTGTACATGGTGAGCTGCTTGCCTCTATTCACCTGCAGCCGTCTGTCCACAAGGTTCTGCATTTTCTCAAGCCCAGCCTCAGTGAACATCTCGTGTACCTCGTCTGTAACAGAACGGACAGAAATGTTTTAATACACCTGATTAACAGAACGGTTCTGCAAAGTAATCCCAATCAATCCGAATTCATGTCTTTGTTTTTGACCTTGAGTGAAGAAATACACCCTCGTTCCATCACCTCGGACATAAAAGTTTTCGGAAAGACACCTTCCTGGAAGAAATAAACAGGAAACAACACACATATTGTTGTACAACAAATTGGAAACTTTAAACACCATTTCATTAATGCAGTGCTGTTTCAATCTGCATTGTACCATTGGAAGTACTGCAGATCGAGCAGCCAGACCATCTACCTTACAAGAAGCATTCTTGTCCTTTAAACACAGATAGTTACTCTGGCTCAGTCACCAGAACATTTTCCGGAATAATAATAAGCCATAATTAATGGACCTTTCCGCATCTGAACTTTCTGAACAGCCATTTGGACTTTTAACCGTCTGACTGACCTTTCTTGAAGCGAAGCTGTGCCATATCGTAGCGTCCGTAGTCCCTGAGCAGCATCACTCCCCCGGGCTTCAGCAGGCGCGCTAATCTACTGATGGATGCCTGCATCCTGAGACAGGACGAGACTTTAAGACAACCCCACCCCGGCTACATTCAACGAATCACACCCAGTGAAAACCACAGAGACCAGAAGAAGAAAGAAAACAGGATGGAGTTCATACTTGTCGGGATGCAACGCTGATAACACAAAGATTAGCACTATAACGTCAAGGGTTCCCTCAGGGACGGGGTAATCGGCTTCCACGTCACTCAAGTCGTGAACAAAGGCGAAGCAGCGCCCGGGGTCGTACTCTGGATTAGTCTGGAGACAAGACGGCAATGTTAATTCACCAGTTTAGCTCACGGGCCTAGAGATAAATCCATCGATTGACATATCGTTCTTTCATTGATCCCGTCTCACCTTCACTAGCTCAACAGCCGTGCTGGAGAAATCACAGCAGTAAACAAAGAGCCCCGAGTCGCTGCAACGAGCACATGTTACAGTTATACCTTTAAGTGCACATCATTAGGACAGAATTAGAGTACAATTGTTGTCAAACATGAAAAGACGTGTCAATGCCTTGACTTCACTTACTTGTTTGTCTTCAGTATTGGAAAAACGGTATTGCCCACACCGCAGCCGACCTGCCCCAAAGAACAGCGATCATATAGTGTTTATTTTAGTTACTCAATGTCTAATAACAACACGTTTTCTCTACGGTTTCACAAATCCATGTCAGTAGAAAATGTTTCAAAAGGCAAAACGATTCCACAATGTTTGAACTCTGTGAGTTTAGTATAAAAGTAGAAGACTGTACTCCACACATAATGTTGAAATCAAAACAAAAAAAAAAAGATTTTTGTCTTTTCGCTCTAGTAAATGGATGGATGAGTAACCCTATTCTACTACAAAGGCTTTATATGCATCTGAAACTAGAAACTCATGTGTCTAATCTAATCTTCAGTAGCGTATTTCATTTGTTTTTGCAATTTTAAGCAATCTTAATCAAAGTTACCAAAATGGTAACATCTCCCCAGATTTCACCCATTAATTCACATATTTGGGGGCTCAGCCCACCAACAGACGGACAACGGAGGTAAACATAACCTATGTCATTCTGCGTTCTAAATTGGACAAAATCGGCTAATTTGCCTTCAAATTAAACTCTCACCTCCAGAATGCGATACGTGGCCAACGACCCTGGGATGTCTCCGTCGGTGTGAGACAAACTTGGAACTTCACTCCTGTGTTCTCGTTGCAGACGCTCCTGTTGGCTGTGATCCGAGTCAGAGACCTCAAGGTGGGATTCATTGTCGAGGCTACACTGGGGGGCCAACTCTGGGAACTCTGTGAACAGCCAGTGACGGTCCTTGAAGAAACGATTCTCGTGGATGGTGTAAAAACCATTCCAGAACTCATTTGCCCGGCTGTCATATTCCTCTGCCAAAAAAAAAAAAAAAAAGGGGGTAAGGCAGTGAAGCGGAAGAACAAACTTATCGTCTAGAACGTCTTGCCATCTTTACAAATCAACAGCAACACTGTTGAAATGTCCCCCACTCATCCCATAAAACCCAAACAAAATGAAATCAATACATATCGAACATTGGAAGCAGCTGCAGGTCTGATACTGATCGGCACCAACAGTGAGACCTTGTTTCTCCTGAGGTAGCGGCTGGTTGTTTTCTGACACTTTCCTCTTCGCAGAGGCTTCCTGTTCCTCACTCCACTCCACGTTGTCCCTGCAGACAAGAGAGCACTGTCATCCGCTGGGTGATAAGTGATGTGGTGAATACATAACATACAAGTTAGAGAATCCTGAAATACTGAATGTTTTCACGTGATCATCTGATCAACAACATATGGTTATTGCAAGTATATTAACGCTATTGTAAATGTTATTGATTGTATGTGTTTATATGACCAGTTAATGTTCTATGATCGTTATATGACCCTAGAAACTAACCTGACACTAATTAGACGTGTCCACTGGCAAGAATCAAAATCAGCTTATTCTTAGCCAACCAATTCAGTAAAAACATCCACAAAGCTAATGTAATGTGTAACTAATGTACTACAAATAATAAGAGAATGCTCGAGGCCTCTGACAGAGATCCACAACAAGCATTTTTCTTGCGTAAATGACCCACCATGCGTTGTGCTGAAACACCTGCCGCGGGTCTGTGAGGAAACGTGTCCCGAACTGAGGCCTCTTACACTCTCCGGGGGTTGATTCTGACAGAATCTGCGCTGTTTCGCTGCTGCTTTCCTCCGCAGCGAGCACGGCAACGGGCGCCGCCATGTTGGAAGTGACGCGGCGGGAAAGGGGCAGTGCAGTTTAAGATGATGCGTTCAGGGACCGTTGGATATATTGTAATTCAGACAAGATATTTAAAATAGACGAATTTATGCCAAATGGTTGTCAGTTGCAACCAAAGTATGACCTTTACAGTGTGGTTCTGTAAGAATGTTCTCGCTTTGTTATAAATATTTACCACCTGCATCTTCCCACTTTCTAAAACTGGTCACACACACAAAGCTTGAGGCACATTTTGTCAGCAAAGTAAATATACGATAGTTCCCTCTCACTCAACATGTAATGGCTGTGTTCGTTTTTGTACACTCATGATGTGAAAGAGACATGCTTCTCTATATCTCTCCTCATATTCAGTCTATAGTATCCTAAAAAGCCAATCGATGAATCGATAACCACAGCCAGTCAGATAAATCCAGCCCTGAAAATTGTCCTATGGGCTACTTGACATTAAATATTGTTTTAATTCTTGCTTGTATAGATTTTTTTCGTATTCTACTTCATCTTATGTTATTCTATTGTATTCTTCCTCTTCCTCTGTGTAACGCATGTGGCAATAAATGGCTTCTGATTCTGATTGTCTGCACAACGCTGTCACACCGCACTGCTGCTGCTGGTGTGCTGCAGCATTTGATCAGTGCAGTGATTAATCACTAGAGGGAGACATGTGCCACGGTTATCCGTGGATGCTCCACCGGTGTCAATCGGTACCACGTGATTGTGGAGGATTCCCACGCTGATTGCCGCAATTACCTTATTTATTGTCTTAAATAAACATTTTGATTTTTGAATTTGACCTCCTGCAATTATCAATTTAGTACACAGGTTTCACCCTTTTCTTGTATTCTGGAGGTATATGTACGACGTTACATAAAAAAAATACTTATTCATAACTTTATATCCTTAGCTCATGAGTAGAGATTTAATTATAAATACTTTCTGACTACAGAAATACATGGGGTTCAAGGCAATGACTTAAATGTGTTCATTTTATCTTCAGTGAAAAGAAATGAGACTATTCTAAATTTCTGCTCACATATCCCAATTATAGCATATCCATGCATTGCAAGAGCCTCCCCAAAATTGAGAAAAGCGGTGGATTATTTGTTGGCTTAGCTATTAAAATTAAAAGTATTTCCTCCTGCTACTACAACCAGACCAATCATCAATTATCAAAATAATGAGGATGAAAAACATGTCCTTGACATCCAACGTATACACGTTTTACCTGCATTCTTGGTGTAGAGGTAACCAGCTAAGGGGTGACATTCTATTCTATTATTTAATTTGTAACTTAATCTCAGCTTTAAGAGGAAATAATAGACAACCATGATGAATGTACACTTTTATCTCCAAGTGAAACCAAGGTACCAATGAATAGTGTGTAAAACACAACTGGATTCAACACACATTGAGTGGACTGGCTGGGTGGAACAGGATATGCTGCGGGGCCGAAAGGAAAGTGCAATGTTTGCCAGTATTCTTCTGCACACAGAGTTTTAACATCATAGTGACACTGTTGAAAATATACACATGTAAACAACGCAGCACACAGTGAGATTAATGCTTTGCAATAACCCGTAATGGGAAAAGAGGACAGATACTATGAAGCTCCTGCAGAGCAGTTTGGGGATCCAGTGCCTTGCTCAAGGGCGCCTCTGTGGTGGACACGAGGCCAACAGGCACCCATTAGTTGTGTCTCTCTGAAAACTGGGAGGCCACACATTCCTTTAGATGACTTTATGGATCTGAAATATTAATTTATTAGTAACTTTTGTCATGTACCTCTGATCTCCATCAGTCGGAGTCAGGTGTAACTCATCTATACATTATATATATATATATATATATATATATATATATATATATATATATATATATATATATATATATATATATATATTACCCTCTGTGGACTGGAGTTAAACCCAAGGCCTTTTTAAAAACAGTAAAAAACAAAAATTTGCAAATGAGCAATAATATGTTTTTGTTATTAACAATCATGGCCAATACCATTTGATTGTGCTCTAAAACCCGCTTATATATAAACAAACAAATTACAGGCATTTCAGAGTAACACAGTGTTGATCCCAATAAAATAATCCTAACAAATGCCATTAAAGTCAATAGTAGTCAGTACAAGTTACCACTGCTGACATGAACTTAAAAAACAATAAACACCACATAGATCACCTTAAACCAAGTCAGCCACGAGGCCGTAAGTGGATTTACTCCCTTTTACTGTAAACCGATACTCCACAATTCTGCACTGTTTTCAAAATGATTACCACAAGCTTTATTATTCATTAGAATAAAGGGAATTGCTCATGTACATACAAACCCTTCAAGCTTGTTTTAATCATTGTTATATATAGTATATATTTACTGATAAAAAGGTCCTGTGGTTCTTCTGGACTCGTCCCTCAAATGTAGAAAAAGTAAAGTAACTTAAGAAAAAGCTGCACTCTAACTCTAACATTTTCAAAAAACACAGCTTAGGTTTAAATAATACAACCCACATGGTTGAGGACCCTGAAGAAAACTTTGTTTATGAATGTACTTTCCATACTGACTCATCACTATTAAGTCATGACGATCTATTTCTACTTTAATGTGAGCCAAACCCCTAAAGTAGCTTCCGTTAAGGAAACTCCTGAAATGACATGACATAGTGTAAAACAGAAAAAGTAATAGCAGTCAATTTCCAATTTACATTACCACAGTTTTGGTGTGTTTTTTTAACCAAATGTACAATTACACCCCGTTTTATCCATTTCTCTACTACTACATTCCGTCTCTGTTGCTGAACCCTGAGCGTTTCCTCGTTGCATTTAGTCGTTAGTTGCCCCGGTATGCCACGTTGGTGAAGGTGGAGGTGGCTTCCTTGTACAAAGGATTGTTAGCCTGGGAAATGAAAACAGAGGGAATGCTGTTCAATCTGTTTAAAATGCATTGGGGACTGTATCAGCAGAGCTCCATTGTTCCATGAATAAGAAGCAGTTAGTTGTTTAAATATTAGGGTTGTTTTTCTTTTCCTCACCGTGTCCCACTTGGCTTTGGCTTTCTCCTCTTCAAACTTGACGAACTCTCTGCGGTCATGGATGGTGACTAGCAGCTTCCAGATGAGCATCCCAATGAGGCCCAGCAGCAGAATAGCTCCGGCCACCGCCAGGAGCACCACCAAAATGTCTGCACCCTGAGGACACTCTGGGGATCGAGAGACGGGAGGAAAAAGGGATCAACTTCCTGCTGGTTTCCAGGGTTCGTAAGGGAGGTCACTCACGGAGATCGGCAACGACGGCAGTGCAGTATCAGATGCACTAAGACGATGATATGATATAGTACATAATTACTACGGGTCTGGGTTACTGTGGCGTGGCAGATTGGATCTGTGGTTAGATGTGGCTGATGGTGTGTTCTCCTTTTTGAAAAGACTGCAGCACACAGCGTTCTTCCTTTTCTGTAGCCGCTCAGACACAGGCTATAATGGCATTCAAGAACACCCTCTTCTGTCCTAATAATGCAGCCAAATTAAGGCTCAGTTCTCCTGACAGTTTATGAGTCTCACAGTACCTGGCTCTTTGACCACATCCAGAATGGATTTTCCGCTTCCATCTTCGTAATACTGGAAGTGTACCACGCAGTCGTTCTCATCTTTGTATGAGCAATTCACTGCGTTTGCATGGAAACCTGGAGGAGATAATAGATGAGAACACTGCGTGACACATTGTTTAACAAGCGATATTAAAAAACATTGAATATTAATGAGTTCACATCTTTCAGCCACCTCTCATGTTTGAACCCTTCACGTTCACTGGCATTTTAGCTGTTAGCAACAGGAAAGCCACAAGATCAGTGTGTAGTTCTCACCCAGTTCCTCCACTAAATTAATCTCATTTTTGCAGATTATACTGCAGCTGTTGTCTTCGATGTACTGTCCTCTCTTGAAGTGTTGGCACTCAACACACTCCCTGCAAGCACAGTTCCATTTGGTTACCTTCACAGAATGAACAGCGTGCACACTACCAAGCTACTCATGCTTTTTTAGCACCAGCGCCGGGTTTAATTCAATTATTGGTTGATGGTGAAACAACAAGGCACAAGAACGTTTAAGAGTGAACATCAAGATAAATCCATGAAGTGTTAACATCTGTCTGTCTGGACGGGAAAAAAGTTTGATCTTTCTCTGTTTACTGGATTTGAAACAAATGTGTGTGGGAGAAGTTTGTTTTCATCCGGGAATTTGTGAATATCATGGTGGAACAATGTTGCGCTACATAGTGCAACCAGACAATTTAAGATGACCCCTTTTTCATTTTGGACACAATATGTTTGGACACAACAGGTTCATGTTCGTCTGCTCGGGATGTTCATGCTCCCAAGGAAATAAATCCCCACACCATTCCTCTAGTGGCGAAAAACAGCCTTGACATGTTTGTGCTGTCTAAATCCGGGCGGTTCCGTCATCTCTCTCCTTTGTTAGTATATTAAGAAATATAATTACTTTTTGATTGTGCAGGCATCTGGACAAGTGGGGCATTTCTCACAGGTGTCTCCGTAGGCACCAGGCTGGGTGCACTGACAGACGCCACACTGGCAGCTACCGCGGCCGCTGCACAGCAGGCCGATGCTGGACATGCAGGTGTCTACGACTGTGCTGCAGTTGCAGTTCTCTCCTTTCCAGCCCGCGTCGCACTGGCAGAGCCCACAGCTGCACTTCCCATGATCTGAAAGATGCAAAAAAATACTAGATTAATGCTATTATAGTCATATTCCAATTTAAATGATTTTTTTACGATTCAAATAAGACCAGTTATTGCATATTAAACTTATATGTCTCTTATAATCACATGGGCGTGGCGGGGGAAAGAAGACTGAAATAAAAAAATACGCAACTGCTAAATTATTCACTGCGTGTGTATTTATTTTAGGGCTGTTATGTCTGTTCTGCGTGCCTAGTAAAATGTGTGAAGCATGTTGCATGCTCGGGCAAGTCTACCTGTGGAGATGTTTTCTAGGTTTTGCAACAATCTCATAGTGACTGTTGTGTAATTTGTTACGTTGGTTTCCGTGTAAAACATAACGTTGCCTAATGTTGTGCAGTAATGTACACATTTCTATTAATCACCCCAATACTGACAACGCAGGTTATGTTCTATTGTGAATGAACACACTAATGATTCCCCATCTCCTCTCGGCCAGGAACCCACACCGGTGCTCTACTGAAGTGAAGAAAGCACAAAAGCCAAATCATCAGGGGACCAGTGTTTCAGTGATGCAGCCATTTGCTGACAGAATGTGGAGATGAGCTTTTCTCCCAGGATTGCAGAGAGATTAAGCTAATTTTGAAATAACGGCAGAGCCCAAGAGACTCCACTGTTCTTTGCAATTAACCAAACAGGATTTAGCAATGAATGACTAAGAGCAAAGCGGGTGGTGAATCACAGCCAGTCTGGATCAGACTGGGGGAGTAACTGGTCATGAATTATTACAAAGGGTCCAAGGGTCCCTGATTCCAGAGCTCAAAACAAATCATCCGCTGTTGTAAACGCCATGATACAATTCCCCGGTCTACGCCCTGTAAACTCCTCTTTAGGTTGTTTGTAGCTTTCATTGTATCAGACGTGGTCCCCTGTTAATGGTTAACAGTCTCACGTTTGACGCCCGGCAAGGCCGCCGCCGAGTAACCTTTTTCAAAAACATTGTAAAACTACATTTCCACTGTAGCTGTGGATTTCTTTTGAAGTCTAGATTACTTCAACTTGACACTGGGGCATAGTTGGGTTGTTCTCATTAGTTAAAGCTGATGAATACACACAAGGGGGAGATTATTATAAGTAATAGTAACAGAAATCCCGCCTATTAACTGGGTTTACGTGAAGGACAACGTAGGGGCCACGTCAACGGGACAGAAAACCGAGATATAGACCAAACTGCAAAACCCCAGATTACACTGTTGAGAGAAGAGAGGGAACAGAATGGCGTGCCGTGGAGATGGATACTGGGGAGAAAGAGGGTTTAAGGCAAATTGCCGGCAGAGGAATGCAAACTTTCCTGTTCGCTCTTCCCTCATATTTATGGGCCCCGGGGCTGGACTTGCTGACTCCTGCTCCCTGGCCCTGCACCGATCCCACAGCCCTTCAGCAGGCGAATAATTACACGGCCACAGGGGATATCACAGAGACGGAGTTTTTCAATGCGCCGGCTCAGAGTAGCCCTGATTGAGCTGGGGCTCAGGGACGCTCGCTCTTTCAAGATAACAGCGGCATGACTCTACAGAGACACAACAACTTTGCGGCCGCCTGAATTGAGCTCTGTTGAATGTCTCACCTCCGTTGTGTGTGTGTGTGTGTGTGTGTGTGTGTGTAGGTCTGTGGGCGGGCAAGACGGGTGACTGTAAATGTTTTTATGACCATTACTCAGAAAACCAATCCACCTTGAGAAAGACTCTACCTTGTTGATTATGTCCTATGCTAGAAATAATAATCTACCACATCCTGCCATTGCTTAGCATCGTCTTTACAAATCAACCCCAAACAACAGTCAGATTAAATTAAAGTTGCATCACTGGGATTGGGCAACTGCACACTGAGCTGTGCAGGCTTGCAAAGGGGAGTGTGAGCACACCACCTGCTCCGAGTGGTAAGAACACAAAACTCCTTCCACACAAGTCTGCAGATCTGCCAGAGAATTTGGACATTCGTAAGCATTTCTGTTTGTGCTTGGCAGCTAAATTCCGCCATTATTTACATGTGCAAGCAAACAAAGACACTAATAAAAAGTCTGTGGCTGATTTCTGATTTGTTAAGCTAAATATTAGACAACTACGTAAACTGACCAAGGTGTGTTTACAGACTGAGATTGACTGAACGTGCGTTCTCGTAGAGTCAAACTGGGCAGGAAAAGAAAGAGAAGTGAAGTTAAAACATGTGTGTGTTTATTCACGACTGCTCGAATTTTTTGTGTGTTGGTTTTCAATCATGTCACATAACTTCCTCATTTGTTTTTTTTTAAGCAAATCCCATATTGGTGTTGGAAAAACCCTGATTAAGACAGAGAAAGCATATCCACTCACCGGAGCACAGTGCCCCCTTGAAGCGCAAGCAGTTGAAGTCGTCACATTCGCAGTACTTTCCCCAGACCTGACCGAACTCATTCCCATGGCAGGAGCACTGTCCGCACAAGCAGTCTCCTCTCCCGCTGCAGATCGGCGCCCCTGGCTTCGGGATGCAGTTGGCGTCATCGGATGGACTGTAGTCCTCCACCGAACACTCGCACCTCGGGCCCAGGCGCCCCGGGTGACACTGACACACGCCGCACTCGTAGGTCCCGTTGCCGTTGCTGCAGAGGGGGCTGTCGGCTTTGGCGTCCGCCTCGCAGTCGCAGCCGCAGGCGAAGTCCACGGTGACCTCCAGCGAGTCCTTGAAACCTCGAGGCTTGATGGTGAAAGAGTGTCTCTTCTCTTTGGGACAGACGCGCAACTGCGCCTCCACGCTGAACGACACCTAAAGGCGAGGAAACGCTTCCGTGATCATTTTTGCGCGTAGATCCCAGATGCGTATGAAGGAATCGCAACAGATACGTACCGTGTCTCCAATCTTGAGGCCGGAGCAGGATTTCAGTCCAGGAATGACTTCTTCATTCAGGCAAGTGGCATTGAAGGAGAGATGCAACTCTTCTGGGACTCCCAGTAACTCCAGCTCCACCTTAGAGCGGATTTTCTGCTCACAACACAAAGTTACGGGGTTGAACATTTACATTTATAGCAGTATCCTTTTCTTTTTTTTAAAGATTATTATTATTGCCTAAATCCTGGTAGATCCTTACAGCGTAAGCATCCACAATGAGCTTAATAACATTGCCAGAGTCATCGGACAGTGTTCCCACAGTTGTGCCTGGAATGAGCTGACTGTACTCCTGGGAAGACAGGCATGACAGCAATGCGATGACACAGTGTTTGTACTTTTCACATCAATAACCTACGCAAATTCAATGCTGCGTGGCAAAAGCGGTGCAATTTCTTTACCTTGTAAAGTGGAACCACGTAGTCCGTCACGGCAAAGATTAAATTGATGTTGTTTTCAGACATTTTCTCGGTCATGAGCGCCAGGGAAGGATAATCCTGGGAGACACAGGAAACAAACAGCAAAGTTATGTCCAACAACGAACTATACAAAACAAAATGACTGATGTACTTCCTTCCTGCTCTTACCAGCACAGTGGATTTGTTGTAAACATTCTCATTATCAAGGTGACATTTTCCATCATTGGGCTGGACGATTCCAGCTATGCGTCCATCCAGAGCGATGTGAGTCTTGGCATCGGTGGTGAAAACCAACAGGTGTGAGGCATCCGGACGCCACCCAATCCTGTCCTAATAACGAACACAAAAATGAATGTAAAAACTGTGAGAAAGAGTGCTGTAAGCACACGCTCAGTATCAGCCAGCATATGTATGTGATTACGTCGCCGTACCTTGCACACCACGGCCTGCATGACAGCATCAAAACCCCCCTCTGGAGCATCTCTGTTTCTAGACACCTGCTGTTTCTCCACCTCCTCAGTGAAGCGAGCCACCTTCTCCGTCAGTGACAGCACATGCTTGAACCCGAATTGGGCCTGGCATTTCTGATGAATTCTGTTAAGCATTGAATAGGTGAATGAGGGGGGGGGGCAAATCAGTGGAGAAGAATATTACACTATCTCCCCTTCAGTTCCACCGACAATATCCTCCACGCTTACCCATAGCAAGGGTTTTCCAATGCTTCCGCAGGGTTGGTGTACATGTAAGGGGAGGTGGTCTTGTCCACAAAGGCCCCAAACCCCATGCGCAGTTTGCTGGTGGTGTGGCCCATGGTGTCGGCAAGCTCACTGCCCAGTGTGCGAAGACGAGCCAAGTCATCCTTCATTGAAAAGGAAAGATCCATCAGATAGTAGAGGTCCACTGGGTAATCCTCCGCCTGTTTCACTGACACGGTGAAACGCTGGGAATCTCCTGGGAGGGAGAGAGCACAGGGCCGCGGAGAGTGAGAAGTGAATGGTCGGTTGAATGGAAACAAATGTGGGCCCAACCCTTTTCTTTGACTTTCAAGTGATAACAAATGAAATATTAGATAGTAATAACATGCGGAAATCCTTGATGCCTGGTCTTGCACACGTGTTAGCATGTGGTCTTATAGGTGGTTACTGTTTGGGTGGTAGAGTACCTGGTCGTAGGGTGATGCCCAGTTTCTGAGGCTTTATCTGGGTAACATCATCAGCTTGGCCCGAGGCTTTGTCGCTGAGCGGCGCGTTCTTGTCAATGCTCAGGGTGCTGGATGGAAACTCCACGGCTGCCGGACTGCATCCTCCTTTTAGCAGATTCTCTTTGTAGTCACAGCGGGACGCACCCGACCCCCCCTTCCCGTATTCCTGCAAAAAAGTGAGATTGAATTAGAAAATCATGCGAATCCACGAATGGTAAAAAACGACGTTGTATGTTAATATGTATGACATGAAGTAGAGGGGTGCTGCACTGAGCCATGAATAGGAGGAGGGACTAGACACCGCGGTGAACGTGTGGTGTTTTTACCTCCTTAGAGCACCACGCACATCGAGGGTGCACAGCCATGCACTGACGACACGTGGTGACTCCTTGTGACGTGCAGATGTTGGAACCTTTGATAATCACACAAAGAAAAATGCAACACAAAATCAATAGTGGAAGAAGTACTCAAATCCTTTATGTAAAAGTAGCGTTGCACAGTCGGACCGTAACACAAATACATACATATATAACGCACCTCAACATGACTAAATTAACTTGTCAACAAGGGTAACATGTGAAGTCTCACTTCAATCCAAAATATTAAATACGACTTTATTTGTTGATTCTGTTTTCTCCAAAATCTAATTCCAAAAAGTAGTTTAACAATAGGCATCAAACGAAGGTGGGGAAATAAAAAGTACCGCCATCTTCTCTTAGATGTAGCTGAGTTGAGTGGAAATACTCCAGTAAAAGATAAAACTGCATTTGAGTACATCTACTTCTATACAGCTCCTCAACCCCCCCCCCCCCCCCCCCAACCACAATTATTTTTCGTCCCTTGAGCAGAGTGACATATCTCCTCACTTGCACTTTGTGATCTAGGTCACACTGTTGAACACACTGTTTCCGTTGGAAGCACCCTGCAGCATGTGTTCCACCATCAAGCACTGATAGCACAGCTTTCACACGCACCCTGTCACAAGAGGGGCCGACTGCGTGCCACTCACATTAACCACGCAATTCCTCTTTTCTTTTCTGAGAGTCATTGGACCTCAGCAAATTGCAGCAAACATGTCCTTTTTTAGCAGGTCAGGATATGACTCCAACGCTGTTGTGTTTGTTATCTACACCGGCCTGGGGGCGGGGCTTGCTGGAGGTAAACCCAGAATCACGGCCACCCAATGCGGGTGTTAAGGTCCCTGTGTGTAGCGTTCAATTTAAGATGATTTAAGGTAATTGACAAACTGCTGGAATTAGCTCTCAAACGATAGTGAAGCCCCCCCAGAAGTGCCACGCAGTGTGGGTTTTTGGCAGCAGTGATGAAATAAGTCTGATGTTGTAAGCCTCACAGTGTTTTCTATGTTCCGTCAGTTTTGGAGTTATTTGACGCAGTGTTTTAATTCTGAACAGAACCATGACATCGTGGACCTGGTGTTGGATCAGGAGACCCGGTGAGTCAGGTCCCCTCGCGTTGAGGGAAACCCATCCCGACTATTTTCACTCCCTTATAAGGAAAGGAGGCGAAAGCTCCAACAGAGGAGCGGGACGCGGCCGCGTTATTCCGCGTTCCCGTTGAGGACATTCCGCTGAAACCACCGGACTAATCCTCATGAAATGAAACCAGCTGGTGAGACGAACGCTCCGTGGTGTCTTATGAAAGATGCCCTACGAGCCGGAATGAAAACACCCGGCAGCTCGCGTAAGAAGGCAAAAGTTTAAAACAAATTAGAAAAAAGAATTTAAAAAAGTAGCTAAAGTAATAAAAAAACTTACCGAAAACCTTTGATGCCGATAAGAAGAAGAGAAACAGAATAACCAGACGGTGTAAAAGGTTCCCCATGACTGGAGGAGGGACGGAGGCGACTGGTCGTCTGTGTTTCCCTGCGCGTTTGAACGCCTTTCCTCATTCTTGACTCAAAGGGATGTTGGGTCATACGGCGTCGCCTCTTTGCCCGGAGCTCTGCAGGCTGTGAACGTTCAACCCCCCCAAACATGGACATTTGTTTTTACTGGTTTAAACGAAAGCCCTGAATCCTAAAACATGCAGCCCAGCTGTGACTGGCCAACCTAGTGGCCAACAAGTTGAAATATATTTATGTATTTCAGCCATTAACAGTTATTTTTTAATGAAATGACATCTCAGTCAAATTGAAAAGTGTTGAGCAGAAGGTTCATTCTTCTGTTCGACTCGTCCTTTATTGTTTCAAGATGCACTAATGAACACTAATGGGCATTCATGTGTATTGTTTTTAGTGCAAATCTCCACTGTATTTTCTGTGCTTTGGCCATGTTAGCAAACTGCACATAAAATAATGAACCTTTCTATTTGTTCTCCATATGTTAAGGGTGTCGCTGACTGTAACTTACTAATATGGAACTGAACGTTAGCAGTAGACTGAATATTAACATTTGACGGTGGTATAAACACTGGAGGCAAGTGGACACACAACATGTACAGATGTGTTCGTCACGACACAACGCTGCTTTCAGTGCAGTTGCTGATTTGTGGCTTTGCAAGTCGTTAACAAAACAAATATTAAAATGCTCCTTTCACAATATATAAAAAAACATTACAGTGTAGTTTATTGTCACATATATTCTGTTAATATAAAATAATTCACATATTGCCTGGCACTCTCCTGGATTGAAAAGAGCACAGCATAGACCCATAAAGTGCACACAATGTGTAATGCTGGCCTAAGGCCCGTCATGAAGCCCTGACTGCATATTTACAGCTCAAAATGAATAAATCACCACAATGTGAATAAGCCAACACTATAAAAATAATATATCAAGAGGACAGATATGTTGAGTAATAGAGTTCGTATAGGTGATTGTGATCAGCGACGCTTTCAGAATTCATTTAAGGTCTAAAAGGAACTTACTTAGCCCCAAGCTACTGGAATAGTTATTCCCTGGAAACAGTCGTGCCAGGCTCGCTGTCCTCCTCGCCAAATTAATGAATCTGATAAGAGCCCGGCACAAAAACGCTCTTCTAATTCCTCTGAATGATGGAGCATGGAGAAAATTCCCACTTTCTTAAGAAAGAAAAGGCAATATACAATGGGATAGTTTCTTCTTAAATAAGAAAGAAAAGGCAATATACAATGGGATAAAAGTTTACTCTACAGAAATTAGCTTTGAGAAGTGTGTGTTTGTTCTTGTGTGTGTGTGATGGGGCTGACAGAAGCACACAATGCATCTTATCTCTGCTCTTGTCCATTTATTGAATCTTTATCTCTGTGCCCTGCTCTTATTCCCCAGCTTGTTGCTAAGTTACAGCCACCCGTGTCCAAGACTTGCCGTGAGAAGAAATGACAAAAATAGAGAAATAAGTGGAAAAGCTATCACAGTCATCGGTTCTGTCGGTATTCTGTTCTCCGTGTGGGCGGATGGTGCAGGTAATACACCGGAGGCAATCAAACCCCCTTCTCCAGTATTGACTGATTTGGATTTATTGGCTCCAGAGCCGTCCGTGGCGATCGCCCCTACAGATGAATGGCATTTTGGGAAGAGCATAGCGCCAGTCGTCCTGAGTAAAAAGCCAGACACTGGGTCAAACGTCAGCCAATTAAGACCGAACAAGAAGCGAGGATGGGGGCCGGAGGAGGAAGGGTCCCGACCTGTGTTACAGATCCATCTGGAGCCCTTCAAGCTTTTCACGGAGTCCGAGTCGCCGAGAGCCAATATAAAAATTGCAATGCTCTCAGGCCAACCACAACCGGATAACCCTTTCTTGCTTCATGGGTTTAGCCGGCGGATGGGAGGTTCAAGTGAGGAGATTGTAGTTTTTCTCAGGTGAAGGGTTGGCGGGCTTACGAAATGTGCCCCATAGTCGCTGACGTTGGACAATATGTATTTATGTTGTGAATGTTATCGCATCTGCCTTCCCCTCTTCTAGCTCCAGGATCTACGGCTTACATTTCTCTCTCGGGATGACAGCATACGCATATATGTGGAGAAAGAAGAAATATACAAATAATACAAATAAATAGGTGGGGTTGCATGAGGGAAGGTGGAAAGTAAAGTGAGCATTCTGTTGGTTGTTTTAAGCGCATCCAGACTTCCGTTAAAGAAGCAAAGTTGACGAAATGAGGCAAATGGAAGGACAGGAAATAAATAGGCAGATTGTGGCAGGAGGCACTGAGATGTATATAACGGAAACGATGTTAATGGGTAGCGGCAGCTGGAGTTCACCGGAGAGGAAGAAAGGGCATTTCTTCAATTAGATGAAATCTGTAATCTCTTTCTCAACCAGTAGTAGGTGCGCTAAGAACATGCAAGCGCACAAACACACACACACACCTCTCTCTTATATCCCCCTGCAACGTGTCACAGCAATGAAGTCACAATCTCCTTAAATTACTAACAACTGATGGTTGATTAGTTTGGGGTTAATGTGGGTCTTCCCTCGGCTGCACAGTATCAGTGTGTAAATAATTAAGAGTCCCAAAGGTGACGACCCCCTTAAGGTCAAATCACAACCTCCTGCACTTTCCCTGCATCTTATGATACATGGTCTATGCACATACCAAATACACTGGGTTAATGCACTTTACTGACCTTGGTGTTTCCTGGTACATACTTACACACACACACACACACACACACACACACACTCTCTGCACACACACGGGGACATGGTACCTTCCCTGCAGTCCTGCATCAGCTAATAAGAAGCCTCTCAGAGAATCACTGAGTTGAGAATAGGGAAGTTATGAGGGAAGTGCACCTTCTGCGATGGAGGGACATGAAAGCGTGTGTCTCTTTCGGGTCCTGATCATGTCAACAAACAAAAGGGATGATGGTATAAAGAATAGAGGGGAGGTGGGTGTGGTCAAAGACCATCTCCTTGTTGCTAGGGATGTATTCACTTAGTTTGTGTTGCTAGGCTGCCAATTCCCTCATGTTAAGTGGAAATGTTTCCCCCCCCTGTCTCCTCCGTCCAGGCACCTCATCGCTCCCTCCCTCTTCTTCTCCTCTAAACCAAAATAACTTCACCAGCCATCTGTCACTGGGCTCACAGGTCTCCTGTTGCTTAGGAACAAGTCAGACACTCTTACTAATGTCTATATGCATCCTCATATACATATACAGTATCTTGCTTTAGAGTTTCACCAACAATAACCGCTGGAACGACGCTCATCCCTGCCTGCGACTAGTGTATCAATGAAATGAGCAGCAAAGTTATACGTCTTTTACAGCACAGAACTTCCTGAGAGACATTTAATAATGCCATGGACATTGTTTTAATGATCTGGGTAGTTTGTTCCTCCTGCTTCACTCGCAACCACTTTTCCCCCATTCGTAAACTCTTTGAGGGTTTGTACCTCAAAGCCTCGTGGAGGCATTGCTGGAGGCTGCAGAGGCTTCTGATGTTGACAGAGAGGCAGAGTGTAAGTACAAGCTACTTACCGTAATCACGCTGTAATGAATTATAGAACAGAATCAAACTGTGCAGCATTGATTCACATTCTGCCGATTAATTTGCAGCAGCTTAATCCGAAGGCTAATGAGATTACTTGATCTTATTGTACTAAAAATACTCATGCTTTTGGAAGGTACTTGTGCATGGAGCTAATCCTTGTTTGTACACAAGCTTTTCAGTTGGTGGCTAATAACTGCTTGCAGGAATCAGGAGGAATTTCATTGCCTTTGTTTTTCGACAAACAGCAGTTTCATTTAACAAGCTGTGTGGACATATTTGATGTATTTTGGTAGAACATCTCCCCTTTGGTTTCCATTATATTAGCAGATTCAGGGACTTGGTTGTAATCACTGAAATTTAATATTGAACAGTTTGACATTTGGTTAAAGTCCCACATTTCAGCAATGTAAGGGCCCGTTCCTTCTCAGAGTATTAAAGGGTCTATCAAAAATCTGTAGATATTTTCATACACATGGCCTCCCTGAGCAAGTATCCAATAACAATGTGTTGACGCAAGATATCTTGCAATCACCAGAAAGAGGGTAAACTTGCAAACAAGACAGAAATTTGAAGTAAAAAAAAATAGTTATTTTTCTAAATTTTCAACTGTTGATCGAAAGTAACTACATTAACAGTAACAGTAACATTGTTTATATTATATTTATTATACTCATTACTATTACTTTAAAGGCTAGCGGGTACGCTGAGATAATATTGGGTACTGCAGACAGTCACACAAACAACACAAAGTAATTCAACGGTCATAACATTACATGCCAAGAATGCCCCCCCCCCCCCCTGCAGATGTCTTTCAATATACAGATCTCATTAATTTAAAAGAAGAAAGCAAAAGTTTGTATTTCTTTGAGAGGTTTTATCTCATCCGTAGTAACCTGATATCCCGGAGAGCTGCACAGCTGCACACAACAAACACTAACACATCCAATAAAGACGCCGAGCTGTCTGTTGTTCGAGGGTTTCATTCGCTGCCTTGGAGGAAATAACAACAGCATGAAAGCATTTCTGGATGTGTTTGCCGTGGTTGATACATAGATTATTAATTGATGTCTTTGTTTCTAAGATATACTGTAGCATAATGCGTTGGTCTCTCAGCAGAAAACACTCTCAACGAAGCAGATGAAAATCTACAACCCATTTGTATTCTAATTGAACTGAATGGGATCAATATTGGTGAGGCTTTGATGTGTTATTAATGTGCATAAATAAGTGCTGAGTTGGTTTCAGAAAGGATCCATAAAAATATCCAGGTTTAAAATTAGAAAAGCTCATTCTTTAAAAACATTCTTTTCTTGAATTAAGCAAAATCAACACTCAACACACTAAAAATGGCTTTTGAACTATTTAAAAATGGCCATATACAAATATATTTTACATAGTTATCTTTTTAAATGCAGGAAAGACATTTGATGGAAGAATCCCACAGGAACTCAGTAAAAGCGCAGCATTTATTGGAGCTATTAGAGGTGAGATGAGAGGCCAGGCAGAGTTATCCGTCTTGTACAACAGGCCAAGCTCATATTGTCTTCACAGCATTTAATCTGATCCCTCTGAAGAGTGACTGTAGCTGCAATCAAGGACCATAAAGGCTCACCTGCGGACCACTTGACTTCCGGGCAGCCGCACTGCACCTTAAGAGTTTAAGTATCAAGACCTCTAGTTCTTCTTCTTTAGTGGCATCAGTGTAGAGGATGTGGATAATAGTGAGAAAACCTGCAGCTTTAGAATGATTTCACAGAAAAAACGAGATAAAGGGACTTGAACTGCATTTACATGTTGAAGGATCCCTTTTAATGGGTAAAATGTGCATTCTTGTGAGTGTACATAATAGAGAAAACAGTCTAAATGCCAGATTAGGATTAATTCCAATTCTTTCTTTACTTCACTTTCTTCAGAGGAGTCATCTTCTGACTACCTCCCCTGGTGAGGAGTGGTGGTGTGGTCCACGGGGAACTCATCATCACTTTAAAACGCGCCAGAGACTTGGCACAAAAGAAGCTCTCGCGGGCGAACCCAGACGCAAAGCGACCGTCTCTTATTTCAACGGAGGAAACGCGTTTTGCACCTCGTCGAAGTCAGACAAAAACGTTGGACTTTGGGTTGAAGAAACTTACTTTTTGCGGCACCTGACGCGACGCTGTTCGCCCGGAGGAACTCTGCGGTGATGTGGACCTCCTCATTACGCAGCAAGTCGATGTTTGCCTGTAGAGCTGCACTTTAAAAAAAACCGTATCATTTGGCGGTTTCTTGCTGTTATTTTTCCACATAACGCTAAAGTTTTATTGGGAGTTTAATGTGCGACTTTCTCATATGAGTCGCGTGTCTGTTTAGCTGATTAACCCTCAAGGAAACATGAACGTCTCCTTCTTCAACGTGACACAGGGCGTGCTGTTCAACGGCAGTCAGACTCTGGCCGGGACTCTGGCGACGTACTCCGGCAACGGCACCGACCTCACGGTGACCGGCGACGGTGGAGGGTCTCTGGTGCTGGTGCAGGACGAGCGCAAACTCTTCGTCATGCGTGTGGTTCAAATCGCGGTGCTGTGCGTGTTGTCACTCACCGTCGTGTTCGGTATTTTTTTCCTGGGGTGCAACCTGATGATCAAATCGGAGAGCATGATTAACTTCCTGGTGAAGGACCGGAGACCCTCCAAAGACGTGGAGACGGTGATGATCGGACTCAGCTAGAGCACGCAGAGTTGGCACCGCGGAGGACCTGGAGCGGAGTTTCGGCGCAAGATCTGCATCTGCATGTATTTCTCCAAGACGCCCTCCCTGTTGTCCTAGTGAGGGAATATATGCAAAGACTTCTCATTTCCTTCAACAACAAAAAAAAGGCTACAGCAGCCAGCGACCAATGTTCATGCGTAAAGTTTGTGCGTAAAACAAAACAAAAGCGGGAATTGTTTACAAATGGGCTTGTTGAATCTTTTGAGTGAATGTAATGTTGCCAACTTGAACAAAGTGATGATAATGTTTACAATCTGTTACCTCATTTTTATTGGTTAGACTTTCTTTTCTCCACTTTTTGGTAAAGTTGAAAATGTTTGTAACTGAACGCTTTTAAAAACCGTTGAACCGCATGATTGTGTATTTCTTTCCACGCCTGCCAGTGTAATATATATGGACGTGATGGACATGTGGGTATTCTAGAATCGTTTTTCCTAGTCTAGTTTGGTAAATATTCTCTGAATATTGAAATCTTGCACGATCATCCACGGACTCTGTTTCCGTGTACATGAGAGGATTTGATCCCTTTGGCATGCTCGCTCATTGATCTGTGAAGTGATTTCTGGAACTGTTTTGCACTTTTGAAATCACCGATGCTGCATGAATTATTTTGTACCAAAACAACAGAATATGAACTTGAAATTGCAGTATGCAATTAAATGATGAAATTACCACATGAAGTATTGTCATCATTGGATGTATTGCTTCCAAAACTGTGTATGTTCTCTCTACTAAAACTGAAAAGGTGCTATACTTTTACCTCTAAAGGAAAATCAAATTTGACTTTTGAAAGCATGTGATCTTAATCTATAACTAATTAACACACTATAAAGGCACGTTTAAATTAAAAATCATCTTTTCTTTTGTGGATGTTGAACAAATGTCCATAGACAAATATCTTTTACATAGTTCTTGCTTGATATTAAGGAAAACAATTTGATGGAAAAATCCCATAGAACCTCAGTAGAAGCACAGCATTTATTGGAGCTATTAGAGGTGAGATGAGAGGCCAGTCGGAGTTATCTTGTACAACAGGCCAAACTTGTATCGGCATCACAGCATTTAATCTCATCTCTCTGACTATTTTTAAGTCATTTTTTAAGTGACTGTAGCTGCAATCAAGGACCATAAAGGCTCACTTGCGGACCACTTGACTTCCGGGCAGCCGCACTGCACCTTAAGTTTGGCATCAACACCTCATGTTCTTCTTCTTTAATGACATCAGAGGTGAGCATGTCTGTGAATAAAGGAACAGTGAGAAAACCTGCAGCTTTAGAACGATTTCACACAGAAAAAAATGAAATAAAGGGACTTTCATGATTATTATTACTCATTCTGTCTCTTAGTGTCAGTAAATTGCACATTTCTTCTCTCTCCTGAAGATTTCTATTATCAAGCGGAATTGAAAACCAACAAAAGGTTTCATTCACAATATTCGGTTTACATTTTATTCAGCTCAGTAATTTTGTTCAATTTGACTTCTTTTTCCTTAGTATTTCTATCTGCACACCCCTCTCCACTCTCGTGTCCCTCCGAAGCAACTAATGTTCTCATTATTATTTCAGTACTTGTTAGGAGAGCTGGGGAAGATGAATCCATACAAGCACGCATCCACATGTGCCTTTTCCCATCCATGCATACGTTACACACTGAAATACTGACCTCCATCAGAAAAACAACATGATTAAATACAACATATTAGATAATTCAACAGCTTTACGCTCTGGTTCAAACACAATAAATATTATGCATGCATATAAAGACTGCTGTGTACTTAAACATGTTGTCACAGTAACTGTAACAACCCCGTGTGTGAAAAGCATAATTATTGCTAAGTTTTCATGGCACAAAAGATAACAATTCATATGAAATCATTCACGATTATCAATGCTTTCAAAAATGTCTAAAGCTTGAACACCATCTATTTTGAAACAGGGAATAATGAACATTGGCAGTAAACAGTCTGTGATTTCACACAAATAAATACCGTAATTTAGAGGAGGTTAAGAGGGCGAGCTAAATTATCTACTGAAACAACTTAAATTTTTCTGGAGAGGGAAAAAGGCTTTTTAAAAAATCTCTCCGCGTTTCTAACCTTTAAATTTTTTTAATCTTAAAAGTGGTGATGGTTCCCATCCCCCGGGAATTCCCTCGGTCAAACGAAGTAACCACCCCCCCTTTATCTAACTCCCTTTTTTTTCTGGAACAAAATCCCCAAAAGTTTATTAGTTTAAGGGGGGGGGGGGGGGGGGGGGGGGGTGCAGGACATGAATGGTTCACTGAGCCCTTTGAACACGGCACCGTATAGTTGTGTCTTGTTTTACTGTAGTCAGGTGACTCAAACGTTTCTAGAAGCACCCATGCCTGAGCCAGTGCACACTTTTGTGTTTGCTGTCTTTTTCTCACTGAAATCGATCTGGTGTTGAGCTCATTGAGGCATCCTTCCCTAGTTGGAAATTACTGACTCGATCAGAGCTTTGTAGACTAGGATGTCACAAGATCGAACTATCAACTAGAACAATTGCATCAAGAAAATGCGCAGAAAGATGAAAAGCTCGGGCACGGTCAACACAGCAATAACAGTTCGTACGTTGACTCGAATTGACTATTTATTAGGTCAACGTGACAAAAGTTAATCAGCCACTACCACCGACCTTGTATCAGTCAACTGAAAACAACAGACTGCTAGAGAGAGACCAACTAAAACATTGAGCCACACTCTTTGGCAGAGCAGTTACCACTTAAAATTACATTTAGCCTTCAACTAACTGAATAAATCCTGACTCTGTGCTGCAAGGAAAATATTATGAATCCTTCCGTCCAAGTCTTGTCACTTTACTACACTAAATCATTTTATCTGGACTTGGCTGAATATAAGTTCAAATGACTCACTATCTTGCCTGTGATCCACTGAAAGTCTTGTTTTTCTCACTGTGGAGGCGCCACTACTCGCCCACTACCACGGAGCATATGCTAAAGAGTTAGCACGCGGCGCCATCCACGTGTCCACAATCTGTTGTTGATGCTGCTCGTCATGCCGCCTCTCTTCACCAATTGTATGACCCGCAATGGGAAGTGAAGCACTGCGAGCCGACGAGTCGGCCTGCTCGACTGGCTGAGATGTAGTTCATTATAATAAGTGCATGAGGAGGATATTAATAGGATAATGTTGCAGCGGCGGTGCGCTGGTGAATAGCGCTCCATTCGTTACTTAAGGTTTGCTGTCGGCGAGCATCATCACTGACCTTTTACAGCGAAGACCTGACAAAAAATAATGAAACACGCACTGGCCATCCAATCATGTCATATATAATGGTAATTAAACCTACAATGGCCGACACAGTTAATTGTAATAAAGGTCGTTTTTTTTTATCCCGTACAACTTGACTGAAATTCTCTTAATGTGCTTTATCAGCGTAGGAGTGAAATCATTTTTTAATTCCCTCTGTTGTTTTTCATTAGAGAGCAAGATACACAAAATATTTCTGTGCCGACCAACGAGGCTGAAGGGGGCTTTCTCAGCCCCGTTCAATCGGTTTGTTTTTGGTTGAGAAAGAATGTCAAAGAAAGGAGCAACAGCGATACGATCAGTTGAGGCAGAGGAATCAACGCAGTACCTTATCTCTAGCACGGGTGAGAGGATGTGGACACACACAGATAGAATGCATGAACTAGCCATCGTCTCAGAAGGTGTCGCCTTTGCCCCCAGGTGTCACCTACACCCTGACCTGCCATCCACAATCCAATTATTGTCTGTACCTTGCTTTCATTTGCTTTACTCAGTGCCACTAAAACCTCACAGTCGCTTGAATTAGTTTCTTTCTTCAAGCAGTTCTATTATTGTTCATAGTTGTTGTGAGACCTCTTAGTGCTCGAGCCTGTTGGAACTAGAAACATCCAGAAACACTTAAAGGGCCGCAAACACACAGGGGCGTGGTACGATTGCACACGTGTGCAGATAAACATTAAACATTCACACTGTGAAGCTTGCGATTACCAACACAAACAGACGCGTTTCCATGCTGCACATATTCTCACCCTGAATAGAAGCGTTGTGTGGCTGTTGTTGACTCTGCCGTCATGCAGCGATAACTCAAAGACATTCTTTGGGTTTCTTACCTGCCGGGACCTGAACCTGTGTGTGAGTGAGTGTACTTTTTCTTTTTTTATTTGTCCTCTCAAAAATGTGTTCCCGAGACGCTACGAACCAGCGCTGCTGTGGAAGTCAATCAAACGCGTGTTGTCATGTCATAGGGAATTAGAAGATGACAAAGAACAACAAGATGGTGCTAACGTGGGAAATAAATAGATTATGTGTAATCGTTACTCTGGGACGTAAATGTGAAATATATTTACCAGAAGTCTCATTTAGTCCGACAAATCTCCACATCAGCACTGGAGAACGATCTCACTAGAGCCATTATCATTCTGCTGTAGAGGAAAAATACATTTTATCCGATATGAATCCGCCTGAAATAAATCCTGGAATAAATGTGAGAATATATATATCAATGGTTCAATATAGGTGAATCAATAAATCAATAGGATTTTAATATAATATAAACAAAACAACTGTCCTGCTCTCCACAATGAAAATGAATAACAATGAACTGTGAGGAAAAGCTCAATCCGTAATGAAGTCATGTTATATTTTGAAGGGCAAATTTCTGCAGTCCACTGGAAGGGCACCGGGTCACGATGCATATTCAAAACACTATTGTGTATAAACTTAGTCAAACTAAAACTCTACTTGGAATATTTCATTTGTTTCTGACATGTTTTTTCAACATATTCTACTTTTTCATTCACTTTCCAAGTGTTTCAGAATCCTTAGCAAATCAGAGATCGGAGTGTCAATTGAATATATGTTAATGTTACTGTGTGCTCAATTCAGATGGTTGAATTGTAAATTGTGAAAACTTGACAATTTCATCAAGTGATGATACAATTGAAGGACAATAATCAATAAACAAAATCATCCCGATGAAATATTTGCCTCTTCTTATTGCAGAACGATATGCAAATTGGTACTTAGTACTCACTGCTTTAGATCTCACAGGTGCTGTTTTGTACAAAGAGCTTAATCGCATTCGAGGAATACACATGTGAACAAACCGCTGGATGCCAGCGGCATGAGATCCGCAGCAGAACAGATGGCCCAACATTCTGACTCGCTCTGTATTCAAAGGGAAAGAGAAACAACAGGTACATCAGAGTGTGACTCGTTGTTTTCATTTAGGAAACCATGAACCAGAGGAGGGGGGGGGGGCTGTTCTAAATCAAATCATCTACTGAGACTCCAACCTGAAGCAAAGTTTAAATGGAGCATATTACCACAAAGGCTCTTTGTCTGCGGACGCCTTTGGCAGTGCGTTTGAATCTAACTCTCGTGAGGAATGGCGACTCGTACGCTGCATTAAACCGCCTTCCGCCTCCGTTTCCCCGCGTAATGGAGGATCACGCCTCGGGTCGATCCCGCATCTGGAGACACGCGCAGATCCAGATGGAAGCAGGAGGAAGGGAGCTCGGCGCAGGTTGTGGTGGAGCACTGGGGGGAGGGAAGTCGGGCGCAATGACACCAGCTCGGGCGCCTCGGCTGGGGACAATCACCACGGGGGCCAATCAAGCGGCCTATGAAACCAAAAGCACCCCCCCCCCCCCCCTGCAGAACGGGAGCTAA